AACCCCACCAGGAATGGCTCCAGGGTCTACACCAGACCTGGGCTCAAATCCCCGCTCTGCCACTTGGAAGCCAACAGACCCTGGATGCGTCACTTGCCCTCTCTGGGCCTCAGTGTCCTCTTTTGGAAAATGGGGATGTTTGTCAAATGCAAGGGCCCAGGTTGGGGGTGCCCCATCTGGCCACTGAGGAACCAGATCCTGCGGAAGGTGCAGGTGTGGACTTTGCCCCAGGGTGAGCAGCTGGTGTGGCCCGGGTGTGAGCTGGGGGGGGGGGGGGGGTGGGCGGCAGTAGAGGGTCTCCCTGATGGTGATGGTGATGGTGGAGATGGTGATGGTGATGATGGAGATGGTGATGGTGATGGTGATGGTGGAGATGGTGGTGGGGGGGGTGGGGGGGGTGGGGGTGGGGGTGGGGGGGGGGGGGGGGTTGCCAGCTGGATAGAGTCCCCCTCAGGGCCTGGGTGTTGACTTTGGCAGGTGTTGGCCACCTGCCTGCCCCCACCCAAGCCAACTTTAACTCCTTCCCTGATCCCCATGGGGAGGGGGCTTTCAGTGGATACACGCCAGGTTTAAAGCCCAGCTCTACCACCACATGGGTACTGCCACCTTCTGTTTGTCAAAGGGGCCGGGCCCATCTCCCTCCCAGTAGGGCTGACTCACCCCAGCCCCGGCTTCAGCCCATGGAGGCCAGAATGACGGTCCTCAAATACAAGGAGACCACCCTCAGCCACCACCACGACCACCTGGTCCTGCCTTTCCTGGCAATCTGTCCCCACGGCTGGGCTGCTTCATTTGGATCCAGCTCACCCCCTCAGCCCTCATGGCCTCAGTTTCCCCAGCTGTTATGGCTGCTCCCTGAGCCTCACAGGGAGGCTCCAGAAGGCCTGGGTGAATGGGAACAACCAGCATAGGAACCCCTGGCAAAGCCATTTCTCAACTGCCCCGCGGGGCTTTTTTCCACTTTAAAGGAGGACCCAACTAGCCCCCCTTTCCTGCCCAGCCCTCCGCCCCACCCCGTGTTCCGGGAGAACGAGTTTGAGGAGGGGAAGAGAAAGGCAGGAAGCCTTTCCCCATGCAGGGCAGGGCCGCCCGGCCCCATTCCCCAGCCTCAGCCTACCTGTCAGCCGGTTCCACCTGTTTCTGACCATCTGCCGACTCTCCCTCAAGCCTGCCACTAGGTAAGGGACCCCGGAGGGCTCGGTGCTGTCCCCCGTCACTAGATGTGGGGCGCCCCAGCAGGTGCAGGGGAGCTCAGGAGCTTCTTGCCATCACCATATGGTCCCACCTCTTGTCCCCAGCTGGGCTGTCTGCCCTGCCCGCGCCCCATTAACGCTCCCCGATGAGCCCAGCGGGGTCGGGGCGAGGGAGGAGGAGTCCCCCGCTGCCTGCCTTTGTTCCCCAGGCCCCGGGCCTCCCCCTAAGCCCCTGTCCCCCCCAAGACCTGCTGGGACGCGGAGGCGCGGGTTGGGGTGCGCTCCCTCCGACGGGGTCACCTCGCGTGGGGACGCCGCCCTCAGGCGTTCCGCCTCCGAACTCGCTGCGACCTGGCCCTGGCTGCGACCCGGACCCCGCTGCCGCAGCCGCCACCGCTGCCCGCAGCCACCCGGATCCCGCGCCGGCCCCGCCCAGGCGTGGGAGGAGGGGCCCCTCTCGGGGAAGGGCGGGGCGGGACCGGGGCGGGGCCTGTGGAGACCGCGTATGGGGGGGGTGGGGGAGGGGCTGGAAGTCGCCCCGCGCGCGCAGCTATCAGTTCCCTGACAATAAATATTTCATTTTCACTAGCCATACGTGGAGCTCCTACTACGTGCACATCAGCTAAGCTAAGGAGCTCCTACTACGTGCACAGCAGGTAAGCAGCACGGACTCTGGAGCCGGGTTCGAATCTCAGCTCCACCACTTTCTAGCCTTGTCGCTTTGGACATGTTAACCTCCCTGGGTCTCATTTTCCCCATCCGTCACGTGGTCGATAACGAGGGTACCCACCTCACAGGGTTGTGTAAGGGTTCTGATCTGAGTTAGTGTTTGTAACATGCAGCGCCTGACCTAAACTGGGCTAGAGCCTTTCCCAAATACCCTTAAGGGCCCTGTAGAATTAACCACCACCACCACCACGACCACCACCACCACCCCGCCTTTTACAGATAAAGAAACTGGAGATCAGAGAGGGGCAGACGCTTGCCTGAGGCCACACAATTTGGCAACCAGGCCCAGCTGAGGTCCCAGACTTTTCTTCAAGCCAACAGAAGAGAATCTGCAGTTATAACAGTTCAGGCTTGGGACTTCCCTGGCGGTCCAGTGGTTACGATTCTGTAATTCCACTGCAGGGGGCACAGGTTCTATCCCCTGGTTGGGGAACTAAGATCCCACATGCCATGAAGCGTGGCCAAAAATTTAAAACAAAACAAAACACAGTTCAGGCTTTGTTGGGGTTCAAATCCCAACAACTGCACCTGAAGCCACTTGCTGAATTTCTCTGAGCTCCCATTGCTTCATGGAACAATGTTAGCCACCTCTAAGGGCTGTTGTGGACAAACTGAGATGATGTGTATCAGTCTGGAAGGGATGGCATATGCTCAGTAACAAGCAGCCCTATAGTCATCATGGCATCTAACATCCAAGGTTTGTTTCTCTCACACCGGTCATTGCAGTGAGGGGAAGATGTCGCGAATCACATACTGGCTTGTATACTTCTCTTTGGAAATGACTTTGCTCACATTTCACTGGCCAAAGCAAGTCACATGGCCACCCCCAATGTCAATGGGGTGAAAAATATGATTGTCCTCTAGGGATCAGAACCAGCTGTTGTTACAATAATACATGATCTGTGCAGTGTTTAGTGCCACACCTGGCACACAGTGGGTGCTCAACAAATGGGCACCATTATAGGAAGAGCTTAAGGGCTGCAACAGCTAACTCTCCAAATCATCATGCCACATGAATGGGGAAACGGAATCCCTCAGCTCTACCCTTGCCTGCCCCTCCCCCTGCTTCCCAGTTGGAGAAAAGTGACAGCAGTCATTTCCAAAGAAGTGTTTATTGACATTTGGGGCCCCAGCAGAGACAGAGAGTCAGTGGGGGCTAGAGGCTCCTGAGGCCCAGGGCGAGGCCTACAAGATGAAGCCCATTGCTCAGGAGGCAGCCCAGATTGCAAATGGAGGATAGGCCATGGTAGCGGAAGAAGATCTGGCGGAGGGCACTGTACTTGGGGTCCTGCTCCCGCAGCTGACGATAGGGGTCTGAGCGCTGGTGGCTGCCCAGCACCTCCCCGCCCAGGCCCCGCTCCTTCTCCATGGTCTGCAGGGCCCACATGGCGGCCGTGGTGCGGGGTTCCAGCCAGCGGGCGTTGATGGTGGCCAGCATGAGGCTCAGAAGCAGCAAGCAGAGCTGGTGGGGCGGCAGGAGGACAAGGTGAGCCATGCCTGGGAGACAGCAGGGGCCCTAGGGAGGGTCCTCCTGCATCCTCAAAGCCCAGAGGGGAATGGGGGACAGGATTGGGTCAAAGCCAGGCCTCCCCGCTCCAACCTCAAACCCAAACAGAGCTCCAGCTCTCATACCCTGAAACCTGCAGCTCCTAAGGAAAGGCTCCACCACTATCTCCTCTCTCTACCACTGTCTCCTCTCTCTCCCCCAAACCTCCTGAGCCTCCTCTCCTCTGATACCCTGACTGGAACTTTCCAGAACACAGCCTGTCTTCTACCTTCCTCTGTTCCCCCAAACTGAGGGTATCTCAGGGCAGAGGCTCTCTTCCCTGAATTGGGACAGAGCACCATAACTGTCCCCTCACTTCCCCAAAATAGAGAGCCTAAGAGAGGGCCCATCTCCTTTGTGGCCCCAGCCTAGACCCTAGAAGCTGACATTGGGTCCACAGGGACCCAATGAATTAAAAGTCCTTGAAGTTCCAATTACCCATAATCCCTCCTGTGTCTGTGGGATTATTAAAACCCCTGTCAGGCCTCACCTGCCCACATCTGAGGGACAGAATGGGGGCAGGGGGAGGACAGGATAGAGAAATATGAGATGCATAGATGGTTCCTTGCCTTGTGGCTGGGAAAAATGTGTGGATGAGGGTGGGGGACTGTAAATTCCCAGTGAGGCTGGTTTTTAAACACTGAGCTGGGGTCAGTGCCCCGGCCCAGCTGAGTCACCACAGCTTGGCTGCAGGCCCAGCCAGGGGGAGGAGAGGGAGCAACAGCCAGCAGACAGACACTGCGGAATAGTCAGGGCTGCTGGGGACGGTTGTGCAGGCTGTGCACTGCTCAAGGGTATCCAGAACCCAGCTTTGTATACACCAAGAGGAAGGGGCAGTTTGGGGGGTTTCGTTTTAATTCTCACAAAGGTGTAGCCATAGGTGCTCAGTGTGGTCCTGGGAATGAATCTCCAGAGGGTAGTGGAGCTCAAGCTGTCATACCTGGCTGGCCTCCCAGAATGTGAGCTGAGCCCTGGCATGCTGTGAGGCCAAGATGCAGAGGTTGACGAAGGCACAGCCCATGGAGATGTGAAAGTAGAAAGGGAAGAGTTTGCTCTGCACCAGGCCGAAGGTATGTCGGGGAAGGCCTCGGAAAAGCAGGAAGCCTGTGGGGTGCAGGGGACCACATGTCTGTTAGGACACTTCCAAGTCCCCCTCTCATCCCTGTCCCCACCTTAGGCACTCATGATATCCAGGCCGAGGGTCCCTACCTGAGACGAAGGTCACCCACATTTGCATGCCCCAGGCCCCTGACAAGACCAGTAGATGAACCACCTTAGTCAGGCTTTCCGGGTTCCCACCTTCCTCCATCTTGCGGGCCTGGGAAGGAGGCACCATGTGGTCAGAGTTTTACCTTTGCCCTGTGGCCTTCAGACCCTGTGAGCCTGCACAAGGCCAGGGTCATGGTCTATCCAGCAGAGATCCAGGGATAGTAGCCCAGGAATGGCGGTGGGGAAGACCCATAGCACTTCTGTGATGTCCCCTGACTCCATCTCTCCAAATGTCAGCCCTCAAGATCTTAGGCTCTCTGGACCCCAACATCCATGCCACCTCTGAGACCCCCAAATTTCAGCCCCAGCAGCTCAAGCTCGAAGCCCTAGATCCTCAGAGATAACCCCAGTGACTCCCAAATATCAGCCCAGGGACCGAGTTCTGATATCAAAGACCACTCCTTTCATGACAGGATCCCAGATATCGCTATGAAGATTCCCGAAGCACCTCCTGGAGACGCCATCTAATCCTGAGAAACCCTAAATCTCATCCCGAGGACACCGACCCCACCACTGGACCCGGACATCGACCTGCAGCACCCAAGAGTCCGGGGCCGGATCTAAGGGGGTCAGGCGGGCCCGAGGACACCAACCCCACCACTGGACCCGGACCTCGACTTGCAGCACTCAAGAGTCCGGGGCCGGATCTAAGGGGGTCAGGCGGGCTGGGCTTGGTACCTCACTCTCGCGCTCCGGGGTGGCCGCGGACCCCATCGGCCACTTCCCCTCGTGGGACCAAGAATTCGTCCCGCCTCCCAGCTAAGCCAGAAGCCAATCGGATCGGAGATCTGTACCTCCTGTACCGCCCTCTTAGATATTGACTAATCGATGAACGGAGTCCCGTCCTGGAATCCCGTCCACTCCTCGGGATTTCACCCAATTACACCGCGGCTCCTAAGATCTGCGGAAGCGGAAAGGCGCCAATGAGGTCTTCGGCTGCATCGGCGGGGGCGGAGCTAAAATGCCAGCCACACCCCTCTCTGATTATACCTTTGGGCTCCGCGCGTTTTAATAGGATGGTGTCTCCACGGGATCAAATTTCAGCGTCACAGCTGGGGACTGGCTTCGCGGTCCCCGGTGGGAGAGCAGGAGCAGGTGGTATGTGGTAGGTGGGGGTGGAAGGGGATCGGGAGCCTGGCGAGCGCAGGATTTAAGGCCCCGGCGGGCGGGGCCCAGGCAAATGACCCCGCCCCGTTCCTCCAAGAATTCTATCGGGAAGGACTGAGGGAAAACAGGTGATGGAGGAGGGGGAGGAGGAGGAGGGGCTCGACTGGGGGCCTGCCTGCAATTGACACTCAGAAATGCATCTTGACTTTCCCCCTCCAAGTCTCCCAGGGCTCCTATGATTCCCAAGTACCAAGTCCTCAGTGTGATGTTCAAGGACAGACACTGAGCTTCCCACTACTGTATATCAGGCACTGGCATGGATTAATTTACTTAATCACAACAACCCAGTAAGGTGGATAGTATGACATTCCATTTTTATAGTTGGGGACAATGAGGCATGGAGAGGTTTAGTAACTCCTCCAACATCGCACAGCTGGGAAGGGGCAAAGCTAGGATTTGAACCTGGGCCATCTAGCTGGAGGATCTCCTTGCTTAATCATCATGCTGTACTGCCTCTGGAAGTAAGGACCTCGCTGAGGCAGTGACTTTTGAAGTGGTAGCTTAGAACAGTTCAGGCAGAATAATAACTCCTACATCATAGGGTGGGTGTGAACACCCAGTGAGGGCTTAGGGTGGTGCTCAGCACTCAGCAAGATGCTCAGAAAATATGAGCTTAAAAAGGGATTAAGGAAGATTTTACAGAGGCAATGCTGAGTAGGGTTTTGAAGGGTATGTAGGAGTCTTCCAGGAGGACTGGCTTAGGGTAAAGATACCAGAGGGCCCAGCAAGGACAAAAGAAGAGAAAGGCGTATACTGTGGCCTTTCTGGCTGAGTGTGACCCATGGCAAGTTGCCCTTCACCTGGAAGTTTTTCCAGACAGACCTCCCCCAGGTTTCTCCAGCTGTGCCAGCCCTGACTACACTGGAAGGGCAGGGGGTGTGGATGTGAGACCCAGAACTGAGTTCTTTCCTGTTTCCAGCCTCACCTAGTACAGGCCTGGGACCCCATTCAGCTACCATTTATTAAATTCTCCTGCTCACATTCTGTGTCTCCCATTTACTTGGGGAGCCAGTTCCCAACTCCCCGGCTTGGCTTGCCCTGCCTTGCTTGAACTGCCCCACTAACCTCCTGCTGCTTCCTTCTGGACCTGCCTCCAGTCACCACCCTGACTTGACCCGCAAAGAGCACCTGGTTGCAGACTTCCAAGTTTTTGCACATGCTGTTTCCTGCCAGGGATGTCCTTCCCTTAGGGCCCAATGTTAAGATCTTTTTTTTCTTTTAGGCTTGTCTCAGACCTCACTGACTCCTGTGGGATCTTCTGGGTCTTTCTCACTGCCCATCCTAACCCCTGGGGCTGGGATCATCTTTCACCCAGCTTTGGCTCCTTATCATAAATAAGAGGCCTGTGTTCAGGGCTGAGGCCTCTCTGGGGTGTCAGAGAGGGCATGAGAGTGTCAGGACCTGGGAGCTGGTCTCAGTGCAGCCCTCTGTCCCCCCTACTCAAAGCAACCCTCTTCTGGCCGGCCTACCCCTGGATCCTGACTACTCCGTGCCTTGATACTGCTCACCTCCGTCACCCTCCAACGTGTGTTTGCCTGCTACTGAGAAGTGTGACAAGTGCTGCGGTTCGTTAAGCCGCTGCCCTGGGGCTGGAGAGCAGGAGGGGCTGGAGTACTCTGGGCTGGCTCTCAGGAAACCTTCACCACACACCCCCCTCCCAGGCCCTTCCTCAGAAAATACCTTGGAATATACATTTCACTGGTCCAGGACCCCAGAGCCAGAGACATTGCAGCTGGCTGCACCCGAAAACACAGTGACAATTGGAACCTGGAGGCCAGGGAGAGACTCGGGGCCTCAGTCGCATGGGTCCCTCCCCAACTTAGACTCACAGAAGCACTGTAATGACCAGGACCCTCCAAAGAGGCATCACAGCAACACTAAGGTCATCCCCACCCAGGAAACTCCTTCCTGCCGCACAGCTATCTACCGCTGCAGGGCTTAGGGAGGGAGCTGTGGGGGCAGAGTCCTCCTTGAGACCCCTCACATCCTCTGTCTTCAGCACCCCGAACAGCCCCCAGTGCTCAGCAGGACTGCACTAAAAATGTCCTGAATGAATGGAACGGATGTGCGATTGTGTGTCTTAATGAGGTCCTGTCTGTGATTGTCTCTGGATATGACTGCTTGTGTGTCTATGGTTGTGTGTCTGAGATGGGCATGAGTGCATGCCCTGGGTCTTATGACTTAGTGTGTACGGCTGTGTCTGAGCCTGCGTGTCTGTGGTCGTGTTTTGATGACCATGTATGGTTGTGCATCAGTGGCTACTGGTGCTCCTTGCAGACATTGTTGATGCCCCTAAGGAGGAGGGCCATTCCCTGAGCGCAACCAGAGACATGGCTCTGAAGGCGCATGCTCTCAGGGGCAGCCCATGGGCCTGCCACACAAATGCACTTCTGAGCATGTTCAGGCTGGGGCAGAGGTGGGGGTGGGGATGGCAGTGGGGTGCCTGCATATGCCTGGAGGCAGCTTTGCCTTCACTTGGGGGTCTAGGACACCCAGAACTCAGCAGATCCAAATCATGTCTGGCCCCCACACACTGGCTTGGGGTGAGCAAGGAGGCGGACCAGGGATAGATTATTACTGCTCTCATGCCCACCTTTCATAGAACCCCTGGGAGACCATCTCTTCCAAAACCAAAGGTGAGAAACTTCCCGCTCAACAAGACTGTGGGTGGGAGACTTGCCAGTTCCTACCTCCACCCTCTGCCCCAGCCTCAGTGGACCCCCACCGTTGCTACCCACTCATCCCTGCCCCATTGTCAGCTGACCCTTACCCCTGACCTCACCCACCATCCCTGTCCCTGACCTTGACCCCTACTCCTGCCTCTACCTCTGCCTACCCCAGCTTCTTGCCCTGTCCCCCCTCAACCAGACCCTGAGCCTCTACTGACCTCTGCCCTGACCTTGCCCCTGCCCCCACCCCTCCCAGCCTTGGCTGACCCTCACCTCTACTCACAGTTAAGTCCACCGTGATGATTCCCGAATCCCAGAAGCTTCTGAGATGTGAACTGGAGTCACTCAGGTGTCAGCTACAGGCCCAGACCAAGGTGAGCCACCTCAGCCCTGCCCCCAGCAGTTGTTTCTCCCACCCCCCCCAATCCACCCCTGCTCTCACCCCCAGGACTGGCCTCTCCCTCCAGGCTTTCGAGTTCCTAAACCACTCAGTGACCATGTTGGAGAAGGAGAGCTGCCTGCAGCAAATCAAGATCCAACAGCTAGAAGGTGAGAACTGGCCAAAGGTCAAGGTAAGGCTGGAGGCTGCTCCTATCAGGGTCAGCTGAGTCAGGCCAGGGTGAGAGAAGTAGGCTGAGTCTGGGTTCAGGACCAGAGTCTGGTCAGGGTGGGGGCAAGCTGGGTTCAAAGCTGGGCTCAGGGTGTGGGTGGGGCTCAGCCAAGTTCCCACCATCTCTCTAGAGGTGCTGGGCCCCACAAGCCACCAGGCAGACAAGGAGAGACACAAGTGGGACGTGGAGGAGGGATGGCAGGAGCTATATGAGGCCCTGGCTAAAGGCCTGCAGGGGCTGCAGAAGACCCTGTATGACAACGAGGAGGTGTAGCGGGCCTGTACCACCTGCTGTCTACAGCTGTTGGCGCAGGAGATCCAGGACAGGTGGGTATTGCCAGGAGGGAGGCTGTGGGAGGGAAGGGAGGCCAGGGAGAGGGAACCACAGGTGGGATGGGGGAAATGGGAGGGGCCTGAGTAAGGGAGTCTGGGGGGCCTTGGAAATCTTGGGGGACAAGAGGAGGGGATGGGGGAGGCAGGAGGCAGTGGGGGGGGGGGGAGACTGGGAGGCCAGAAATAGGGGAGACAGGAGGTGGGATGGAAAGGGAGGCTGGAGGATCAGAAAGCTGGTGGGGGTGGCATGGGAAGCTGGAGGGTAGAGGAGGTTGAGGGGGGCAGAGGCTGGGTGTATTGGAGGTCTGGGGGGGCAGAAAGTGGGGAGCTGGAAGCCAGGCAATGGGGGGCTGAGGGAATGGGAGGCTGGAGGTCAGAAGGAGAGGACACGGGGCTAGGGAGGGGTAGGAGGTGGGGGAATAGTAGTAGGAGCGGACAGGTGGGTAGGCAGGTATGGGGAGGGGACAAAGCCTGGGGGATGGTAGTTGAACAGATAGAAACATGGGAGGTGGAGGAGGCTTTGAGGAGGCAGGTGGGCAAATGGGAAGCCAGGAGGTCAGGAAATGAGAGGCCAGGGGCTGCACTGTCCCCTCAGCAAGAAGTTCTTGTGGGAGGAGCTGGAGCTGGTGTGGGAGGAGGTGACCTTCATTTATCAAAAGCTACGTGAGTGCCCAAAGCCCATGACCAGGAGGGTGAGGGGTCCTTCTGCAGCTCTGGCCCACCTGAGTCCCCTCCCCCTACAGAGGCGCAGGAAGAGGAGATCACGGAGAACCTGGTGAACATCCAGAAGGTGCAAAAGACACAGGTCTGAAGTGCCGCAAGGTGAGCAGAGAGCACGGGGACCTTGCGTGAGTTGGGGTTATGGGGATTTCTGATGGCCTCCACCATCAGACTGGAGCCAGAAGGCCTGGGTTCAAATCTCAGCTCTGTTTCTTACTGCTGTGTAACTGTGGGCAAGTCACTTCCCCTCTCTGGGCCTCAGTTTCCTCATCTGAACGATGGGTGTAACAACATAGCCCTACCTGACCGAGTAGCTGCATTAACTGAGTGATAAGCACTTTGAAGGCAGCCTGGAATGTGATAAATGCTATATTACACGTTTCACCATCATCATCATTATTATTATTATCCTCCCATCTCCCCTGGCCTCAGGTCCTGACCAAAATGAAGCAGCATGGGTATGAGACATCCAACCGTCCAGAGACTGAGGAGTTGCCACCAGGAGGCAGTGGCTCCTGGAGGGATGACCTCCAGAAGGAGCTGGGTGACATATGGTGATGCCAGCTCCCACTCTAACCTCTGACCCCTGACCCTCATCTGCCCTGTGCTCCTCCCAATCAGATCAAGCAGCGACCACCAGAACCTGGAACCCACCTGAGTCCCTCTCCTCCCAGGACTCATCTCCGCCCCTGCCCCCACCATGGCCTCCCTGCCCCAGCTCTGAGCAGTCCAGAGTCCCCCAGGACCCCCAGATCCCCATCTCCCCCCCAGGTCTGCTGTGCACCTGCTGCAGAACTCCTTTGATGGCCTCGCCATATCCTCAGGGCAACACCCTAGGGCCGCGAGCTTCAGGGGTGAGGGGGGTTGAGCAGCACTCCAGGGTGTGTGTGGGGAGATCATTCTCATCTCCGCCCAGGGTTTCGGCCCGGGGTCACGCTCTGACACCCCACCCTCCTCTTCCTCTCAGCACCCACCAGGGTCCTCCCTCCCAACCTCCAACCTTCGTTCCCTCCCGAATCTATTCTAAAACGCCCTGCCCCAAAGAGCAACAGAGGCCCCGCCCCGGATCACGCTAATGAGACTCCGCTAGGCCCCGCCTCACGGGTTATGCAAATAATGCTCCCGGAGGCCCCGCCCCTCTCCCCGCCGCGGAGTCTGCGCTGCGCGGCGCGGCGCGGCCCGGCCGGCCGACGGTGTCTCTCTCTGCGTTCGCTCGCTGGCCGGCCGTCTGTCTGTCAGTCCCGCCGCGCCGGGGCCGTCTAGGTGGATCCGGGGCTCAGGCGGCGGCAGTCTAGACCCGGTGAGGGGGAGGGCCTTGGGGAGCCCCCTGTACCCCTGCTCGCCTGCTTCCGACCCTCGGTCTGTCTGGCCAGGGTTCGGTTCCTGTGGGTCGGGTCCCCTGCGGGTCCAGCGCGGGGAGGGGGAGGGGAGGCTGCGAGCTGACGCTTGGGGACCGGGCTGGGGGAGGGGAAGATGGGGAGGGGACCCTGGTGAGGCTGACGGTGATTGTGTGGTTGTCGTTATGTGTCAGTGTGTGGCTGTATGAGTGATTGTGTGGCTTCAGGGGTGTCTGTGTGGTGTCTCTGTGACTGTGTCTCCTGTGGCTGTCATTTGCGGCTGTCGCTGTGGGTATCACTCTGATGGTGAGTGTGTGGTGGCTGTGTTGTTGGGGTCGCCTTTGAGTGGCAGTGTGACTGCTGTCACAGTGATTGTGTGGCTGGCTCGGTGTCAGTATGGTTGTGTGCATGTGACGGTCATTGTGTGGCTGCTGTTGTGTGTTCCTTCTGATGGTGGGGGGGGCCGTTATTGTGTTCCGGTGTGTGGCTGTTATCATGTGCATTTCCTGTGTGGCTCTGTGTGCGAGTCTGTGCCATGGTCTATGTCTGTGCCCTCGTGTGGCCATGTGGCTGCGGTTGTGGATGGCACAGGGCGCTCCTAGGACTGTCAGTGTGGAAGAGAGACTGTTAATGTGTGTCATCCTGTGCCTTGTAATTGGGGGTGTGACGCTGTGACCAGTTCTGTGACCCACACACACACACACTGTGTGTGGTGACTTTTTTTGATGTGGCTCTTAAGTGTGTTGGCAGCCTCGAGTCTGTCCCTGACGGTGGTGGAGTGAGGGCTGAATGTGAGGCTGTGAGGTGTGTGAAGGACCTCCTGTTGTGTCCCAGTGACCGTGTGTGGGGGGACATTTGTTTGATCTGTGTGGGTGTCTGTGACAGGCCGTGTGCACACTGTGCTATGTGTGTGTGTGCAGCTATGTGTGTAGTGGGTGTGGGGCACCTGTCTGAATGAGCAAGCCTGTCTTGTTCACCACAAGGCTGGCACCCAGCACAGGGCCTGGAACCCAGCAGGCCCTTGATCCTTGTTGGTGGGATGAATGACTGCTGTGCAATGGTGTGTGTGTGTGTGTGTGTGTGTGTGTGTGGTGTTTGGGATGGAAGCTCTGGCTGACTTGTGTACTCTGGGGGTGCCGGTGTGTGTTTGTGTCTCTAAGAAGGTGAGGGAGCCATGGCCAGGTGGGCATCTTGGGCATCTGGGCTCTCTGGTGACCCTCACCCCCACATGTCACATTGCAGAGCAAGCCACGTGGATGGGGCACTGGACCCAGAGTGCCTACCCTTACCTGCCTGGGCCTCAGTTTCCAAATCTGTGCAATGGGGGTGACCATCCCTGCCCTGCTGGCCGCCAGGAGTGGCTGTGAGTCTGTGGGCGTGACAGCGGCCTGCAGGAAGTCATAGGGCCCTTTCACAGGTGAGGTTAGGCTGGGAGAATGGGTCAAGCAGGTGTGACTGCATTGGCCTCTCAGTGCTGGGGACTGAGGTTAGACTGGGGGGAGGGGAGAGCACATTGAGGGGGAGATAGCCCTCTCTTGATACAGGAAGGCAGACGGGCTAGGAGGAGGGGGAAGGAGAGAGAGAAGGAGAGGCAGCTGGGAGAGAAGGAGGGCCTGGCCATCAGCCCGAACCAGTCAGGCACAGCCCATGGGGACAGGAGAGGGAGGCCCCTGAGGGCCATGGGGGAAGTGGTATAGGGGGAGGGGCTTGGTGGGGGTGGGTGACAGGGAACATGGGGTCTCCTGTAAAGCATGTGGGGAAAGAGATACAGGAAGGCAGACGGGCTAGGAGGAGGGGGAAGGAGAGAGAGAAGGAGAGGCAGCTGGGAGAGAAGGAGGGCCTGGCCATCAGCCCGAACCAGTCAGGCACAGCCCATGGGGACAGGAGAGGGAGGCCCCTGAGGGCCATGGGGGAAGTGGTATAGGGGGAGGGGCTTGGTGGGGGTGGGTGACAGGGAACATGGGGTCTCCTGTAAAGCATGTGTGGAAAGAGTATGGGGTCTCCTAAAAACTAGTGGGGGTGAGGACCCTTCTTTGTGGGGGAGGGGTCCACATTAGCTGGAGAAGTCTCTGCTAAAGGCCAAGGGCATGGGTCCCACATGCTAAGGAGGCCAGGCCCTCCTAAAAGGTATGGGGTCAGAATCCCCTGTGTAGGCTGTTGGGAGAGAAGACCACTATACAATCTGTGGGGACCCCAGCAGAGGCTGAGCTGAGCACGTTGCGTCAGGGGAGGCTGGTGCCTCCAATGGGCAGGGGCAGGGGCAGAGCAGGGCAAGACCTGCATATGCGGAGGCGTGGCCAGAAGGCTCAGGGGGCGGAGCCAGGGCTCCTTGTCTGTAGTCCGAGGGGCGAGGGATAGGGGCCAGGTTGTGGCCAGAAGACTCCACAAGCAGGTGACCTGAACCTCCCCTTAGGCCCCACCCTGGCAGTGCCACTCCCTCCCCTTCTCCACAGGCCTGGCCTTCACCATGGCGGGAGGGAGACCTCAGCTGAAGAGGAGTTTCTCCATCATTCCCTGCTTTGTCTTTGTGGAGGTGAGGAGCACAGTACCTCCCCTGCCCAGACCCTCAAGGGGGAGGAGGCACTTTCGGAAGTGGCAATCCGGGATTCAACCCAGCTCTGCCCATCCTTACTGTGGGACTCTGGGCACCTCACTTACCCTCCCAAGCCTCAGTTTCCTCAACTGTCAAATGGGCATAATTACAGTCCCTCTCTCCTAGGACTGTTATGAAAGTAAAATGGATTAATACATGGAAGAGGTTTAGTATGACGCCCTGCCCACAATAAGAGTTACACCTGTTGTAACTCTAGTATTTCTATCAGTAGTATTTTTTCTTTCTCTGTTGGTCTGTTCCTCCACTACCCACTATCTCTCTCTCTCTGAGCTCTGGCCCTGTCCTCTCTCCCTCTTCCCAGTCCCATCTCCTCTCTCCTCTTCAGCTCTCTCTCTATCTCTCCCCCTTGTCTCTGTCTCCATCTCTGTGTCTCCATCTCCGTGGTCCAGCTCAGGCCTGACCCTCTCTGTTCTTACTCTGTCTCTCTCCCCACCCTGGCTGGGTGGCAGTCGGTGCTGCTGGGCATCGTGGTCCTGCTTGCTTACCGCCTGGAGTTCACGGACACCTTCCCCGTGCACACCCAGGGCTTCTTCTGCTATGACAGTACCTATGCCAAGCCCTACCCAGGGCCTGAGGCAGCCAGCAGAGCACCCCCGGCCCTCATCTACGCCCTGGTCAGCGCTGGGCCCACCCTCACGGTGAGACTGGGGGTAACCTGGCTCAGACTGTGGGAAGGGCCTTCCAGGAGGCAGGAGGGCCAGGTGGAGATGGGTGGAGGGCTGGGCTTGAAGGCCAGGAAGACCACGCCTCGGTCTTGCCCACAGATCCTGCTTGGGGAGCTGGCACGTGCCTTTTTCCCTGCACCACCGTCAGCCATCCCAGTCATTGGGGAGAGCACCATCGTGTCCGGGGCCTGCTGCCGCTTCAGCCCCCCGCTGCGGAGGCTGGTACGCTTCCTGGGTGAGTGACTCGGTCAGGGGTCAGCCATGCAAAAGGGCTATGGGCCAAGCTCAGGTATAATAAGAATTCCGGGGGGGAAGGCCTAGAATTGCCACGATGGTGACTTCATGGGGAAAGAGGGATGTGGGCTGAGGTCAGTCATGGTGGAGGTTCTAGAGACATGGGTGGGGCCTAAGCCAACCTTGATGACAACTATAAGAGGAGGGTCCCAAATTGCCACAAGGAGAGTCTCAGGCAGAAAAAGCACAGGACAGACACCAGGGGGCCCTGGGGGCAGGGAGATGAGAACGCTGGCTGCACTTTGAATATGGTCCCAGCCATAGTTGGTGGCCTTGGGGTAGGGCAGAGCTCATCCAAAATGGTGGTCCCCGTGGCAGAGGGCTGGAGATCCAGCCCTGGCTGAGTGGTGCTCCAGGAGAAAAGTGCTCAGCTCAGCAATAGTGAGTCCAGGGGCAGGTATAGGAGCCCCAGAAATGCCATCACGGTGGTCCTAGGAGGTCCCTGGCATGGGCCCAATCCTGATGTAATGCTGTTGAGGGGTCCTAGTCCAGCTATAATAGATTCCAGAGGAGGGCCCACTCCTGGCATATTGGTAATCCCAGAGGGACAGAGGCCAGAGGCCCAGAATGCCATCATGGTGGTCCCAAGGGAAGAGGAACATGGCCCAGGTATTATGGGGTATGGTGTTAGGGGGAGTCCCAGCTGTGCTTTAATGTCAGTCACAGGAACAAGGAGACAGGGGCCTATATGAGCCGTAAGGGGCTCACAGGAGGACGGCTGCTGGGCCCTGGCATGAACCCCCTTTCCTACCCCACCCCAGGGGTCTACTCTTTCGGCCTCTTCACCACGACCATCTTCGCCAACGCAGGGCAGGTGGTGACCGGCAACCCGACGCCGCACTTCCTGTCCGTGTGCCGCCCCAACTACACGGCCCTGGGCTGCCCGCCACCCTCACCGGACCGGCCAGGGCCCAACCGTTTCGTCACTGACCAGGGTGCCTGTGCTGGCAGCCCCAGCCTTGTGGCCGCTGCGCGCCGCGCTTTCCCCTGCAAGGACGCTGCCCTTTGCGCCTACGCCGTCGCCTACACAGCGGTGAGCCCCGAAACGGGGGCACGGCAGTAGGGGGGCGGCCAGCGGGCAGGAGACCGTCTGGGCTGGAGCCTCCAATCCCTCCCCAGTGAGGCCACGCATCACTGTGACACCGTCCCTAGGGCGGAGGCTCCCACTCCTCCCCTTGGGCCCTGGCCACGCCCCCTTGGTGTCTGGCCACGCCTCCTGACCCACTAATGCCACACCCAAAGGAGGCTATTGGCTCAGCACCCTGAAGCCTGGCCAGGTCTCCGCCATGCTACAGGTCCTGGATATTGGCTGGGTGACTCGGTAATGGGCTTTCAACTCCATCCCCTGGAGCCCTTGCCCTCCAGTTTGTCCTCGCCCTTTATTGGCCTGGCCACGCTCCTGACTCGACTTCGCTGGAACTTCCTGACTCTGTCCGCTGTCTTTCCCTGGTCGCACCCTCTGTTGCTTTGACTCCTTTTACTGGCATTGGGGACTGTGCTTCTAACCCTGTCACTGGTCCCCAGGGCTTTGGGGACTCCACCTCCTGGAGCTCCTGGACCTGTCACTTGAGCCCTGACTCCACCCTCTGACTGTGGCCACACCCTAAGCCAGCAAGCATCCTCCCCCATCCCACCTGGACCTGGGGCCCAGGTCCCCCAGAGACCTGGGCCCCAGACCCTATCCACTGCTCTTTGGTGCTCAGGCCACACACACCCCCATCCCTGCAAAGGCCCACTGGGGGTCCATGACTCCATCCCCTGAACTCCTGTCCCCCGGGCTCTGTTCCCTGGAGCCCCTGGCCGGTGCCTCCAGTCCCATTGCGGCTTCTCAGGATTCTGGCCACACCCCCTATCCCTGAATGTAGTGTCTGCTTGGGTTTGGGAACTGCTGCTGCCATGTCTCCTCTGACCCATCCGGCTCCTGCAGATGTACGTGACACTCGTGTTCCGCGTGAAGGGCTCCCGCCTGGTCAAACCCTCACTCTGCCTGGCCCTGCTGTGCCCCGCCTTCCTGGTGGGCGTGGTCCGCGTGGCTGAGTACCGCAACCACTGGTCTGATGTGCTGGCCGGCTTCCTGACAGGGGCGGCGATCGCCACCTTTCTGGTGAGCCCCCTTGCCATCCATCCCTGACCCAAGAGGCAGGACTGCATGATGGTGAAGGGTGTGGACTCTGTACCTTGGGCAAGTCCCTTAACCTTAGCTAGCTTGGACATTCTCATCTGTGAACTGGGATAACGGGACTGGGACCAAGGTAAGGCGAGTGAGGCACTCGCTTTGAGCACAAAAGTTAAGGAGGAGCCAAAACACTCAGTAAACAAGATAAATAATATTTTAGTGAAACATTTTTAAAAATCGAAATTAATGCAAAAGCCCATAATGTCCAAAATACCAAAGGTTTAAATAAGGACAGGATCAGATCCTCTTACACAACTCGGCCTTACTTGCCTCCCTGTGTGGGATAAGTAATAAGAGTACCTATCTCTCAGTAATGGAAAGAGCAGTGTCTGGCACATAGTAAGCACCAGAAAAGTGTGAGCTGTTTTTTAAATCCTGAGCCTCAGTATCCTTATCTGAAAAATGGGGATGGTAATTTACTTTATTGGCCTCAGGCCTCAGCATGCCCCCTCCCTCTGTCACAGGTCACCTGTGTCGTGCACAACTTCCAGAGCCGGCCACGCTCTGGCCGAAGGCTCTCCCCTTGGGAGGACCTGGGCCAAACCCCCACCATGGACAGCCGCCTCGAAAAGTTAAGTGTGGCCCAGGTAAGGGGGGCCGGGGGCTGCTCCCGGCTGGAGAGGGTGGTGGGTGGAGGAGGACAAAGGAGGCAGGAAGTCAGGCAGGCAGTGGGGGTCTCAGGGCCATGGAGAGGTAGAGGGATCACTCACCTCTGTGGCCCTAGGTCCTGGGGGGACCGTCCCACAGGATGCAAGGGCGGGCCCCCCCCCTCCCAAGGGAACATGGTTAATCCTGAAAACTTGTTGTCTTTTCCATTGGGCTCTCTGCCCGATGAGCCCCTTGTGGCTCTGGCCAGTGGGGCCCAGGGGGCCGCTAGCCCCTTCCCTCTGCCTCTTTGTCTCAGGAACCCGAGGCCTGCAGGCCGCATTCGACACCGGCACGGCTCACCCCATCCAGTGAGTGTCGAGGGAGTGGGAGGATAAACGGGGGGACTTCCAGATGGCGGTCACTGCCACAGAGGTCTCACCTGTGCTCTCCTGACCCCTCCCAAGCTTTCTAACCCCCTGACTTCTGATCCCTAGAGCCGCAGAACTGCGCCCACCGTGGCCACCTGATCCCCAGCTGCGTGTCCTCCAGGGCTCCAGCCATGTGTTCATCACCCCGTGTGCCCCGCCCTCGATTGAGGTCTGAGCCAACACCCTTGCCTCTGCCCCTGCCCCTGCCCACACCAACCCCCAGCCAGGGCCCCTCGCCCTCCTCCCCTGGGCTTGGGGGGCCAGGCGGGGGTGGTGGCCGTGGCCGGAAGCTGCTGCTGCCCACACCCCTGCTGCGGGACCTGTACACCCTTAGTGGACTCTATCCCTCCCCCTTCCACCGGGACAACTTCAGCCCTTACCTGTTTGCCAGCCGTGACCACCTGCTGTGAGGCCCAACACCCACCCAGAATCCGCCCAGTCCCCACTTCTTCCCTGCCACACGTGTGTGTGCGTGTGCTGTGTGAGTGCCAAAGCCCTTGTCCTCAAACCAGCCAGGCCCAGACATCAGAGCATGGCTGGAAGGACATCCAGGGGACCCCCTGCCTCTCTTGCCCTCTGGGACATCCAAGTGGGCATAATTGGGAGATGGGTCCTTGCCTCCTAGGATTGCCCTTTTAAGGGCCAAAGCCTGACTCCACTGGCCATTGCCCAGCCAAAGGGAGCCCCCCAGTTCTCAGAATTCTGGCCAAAAGGAGTTTACTCCAGCCAATAGGAGCCTCCCCATCATCTTTTAGAATCCTCAGGCAAGAGGGCAACTCTAGCCAGTGTTCAGCGTCTGAACAATGAATAGGAGTCCTTGGTTCTCAGAATTTCTAGGGTGGGTGGGTATGATTCCAGTCAATGGGGGACCGCCCATGTCTAAGCATGTGCAAAGGAGAGGGGGGAGAGGGGGTCATCTTTTGTCATCGGGTCCTCTCTCCTCAGAATCAGAGTCCAGCTGGAGGGTGGGGGGCAGGCTCCCCCGTGGCAGGGTCCTTGGGGTACCCCTTCCTCTCTCAGCCTCTCCCTCATGTTCAGTCTCTCACCCAGTCCCTCCTAACTCCCAACTTATGCAGGGCTTGCCCCACTTCAGAGGTTTTGGGGTTCAGGGTGCTGCATCCTTCCTTGCCTGTGCCCAGGTCACCCCAAACTCTTCTGTTATTTATTAGGGCTGTGGGGAAGGAGTTTTTTTTTCTTAGAACCCACCCCTGTTTTTCACACTGCCCCCCATGCCTCAGCCTCATACACATGTGCCATCATAGGGGCACAGGTGGAGCAAAGAGGGCTCCCCACCGCAGGCAGCCAAAGGCAGTGGGCAGGGGAAACACTGCCCCCTTTTCCTGCCCCCTCCTCATCTTTAATAAAGACCTGTTTGTAACAGAAGTTTGGCCAACTGCCTTCCTCCCCCAGGTGGCAGGGTGTGGAGGACTTTAATTTTGGGTCTAGGTGTCAGTGAGGCTGGGTGTGAGTGTATTGTCACAGGGCGATTGTGGAGAGGCAGCATGGGGCTGTGGGGTCTGTGACTTGGCTTTAAATCCTGGCTCAGCATTTCCTGGCTGTGTGGCCTCAGGAAAGTTAATTAACCTCTCTGTGCCCTTGTTTCTTCATGTCAAATTCGAACAGCCCTACAAGCCGCATGTAAGGCACACAAACACACGGTGAGGGGGCCTCATAATGACTGCCTTCCCCAGGCGGCTGGCCTGTTTCTGACCATGGCCAGGGTGCAGAGGGCACAGGGAATCGGGTGAGGGGACCCTAAAGGTTCTAATAGAAGGGGATGCTGAAGGCTGTAGGAACCTCCAAGCTGAATCCCTGACTACATGGATTTGAGCAGGGGTGCTGATTATGAGGTTCTGCTGAGAACCGACCCCTGAGGACCCAGCAGAGACCAGGGAAGGAAGGAGGGACACGGAGCCACAGACCATCTCCCCCCACTACACATGCTGTGGCTCTCAGGGACTTCAAACAGGCCATTCAGGGTACGGAGTCATCCAGAAACCTGGAAAGGGGAGTCTGCTTTCCTTTCTTTCTCGTTTATTCATCCATCCATCCATTTATTCATTCAGCAAACACTATGGAGCATCCCCGCTCCGAGTGCCAGGTGCTGTTTAGCTAGGCACAGGGGCTGCAGCAGTGAGCAGAACAGACACAAAATCCTGCCCTCATGGAGCTCACTTTCTAACACCTGAGAGACAATAAACAAGATAAATAAGCTATACACAAAACCACAATTCCAAATTTCAAGGTCTGGAAACCAAAATTTGTTTCTCATCTGTGGCAAAACTTGACCTGAACTGACATAGGATATTATAGCTTTTCTTTATTTAACTTTATGTGACTATTCTTACGTCTTGCTGCAGATAAAGTGTTCGACTTAGAATGTTCTCCCAGGTCCAGCTAGTGGTGTTATTCAGTGCATAGTATTTACGCCGTAGTACCTTTCGAAAATCTGGAAAATTCTGAATTCTAAACTGTAGGATCAAGGATTTAGGTCAGGGATTGAGATCGCTGATATGTTAGATTGATAAGTGACAGAGAAAACTCAAGCTAGAGAAGACAATGGGACAACTCTGGGATGGGGACACAGCTTGCAATTTAAAGAGGGTGGTCAGGGAAGTTCTTTCTGAGGAGTTGGCACTGGAGATGAGGTGTGAAGGAGGGAGGGAAGGAAGCCATGCAAGTATCCACAGTGTGGAGCGGGGGGAGCGTTCCAGGCAGAGGGAACAACAAGAATGAAGGCCCTGAAGTGGCAACGTGCCGGCTGTGTTCGGGGAACAGTGAGGACACCTGTGCGGTTGGAACTGAGTAAGCGACAGGGAGACGGAGTGGGAGGAGGTGGTGGGATGGATTGAGGGCTGCAGGGAATGAGATGGACGCATGAGAGGGCTGCAGGCAGAGGAGGAACAGAATCATGGAGCCCCATGCTTCACCGCCCAGAGCTTCTATTTCCAGGGCTTGCACCCCTGAGGCCCGTGGTCCCTCCAGACGCACAGCTGCCTCCACGCGGGCAGGAAAGAAGCAAAACTTCAGCACAATGGACAGCGCCCTACCGCAACCCGGTTGGCGCTGTCCGTGGTTCTGATGTTAAGCGGAGGCCAAGAAAGGGTAAAGGCGGGGCTGCCAGACACAAAGAAGTGTCTGGGTCCGCTAGAGAGGTTGGAGACAGCAGTCCTGGCCTTGCACACACCCCCATCCCAGGGTGGATAATTTTAGGTAGAAAATTCAGACTAAGGGACTTCCCTGGTGGTCCAGTGGGTAAGACTCCATGCTCCCAATGCAGGGAGGTCGGGTTCGATCCCTGGTTGGGGAACTAGATCCTGCAGGCATGCTGCAACTAAGAAGTCCACATGCCGCAACTAAAGATCCCACATGCCACAACGAAGATCCCGCGTGCTGCAACTAACACCCAGTACAGCCAAAATAAATAAATAAATAAACATTTTAAAAAAGAGAGAAAGAAAGAAAATCCAGACTAAGATGTTCTTTCTTATTCAAAAGGCTTCTTGGGGGCTTCCCCGGTGGTCCAGTGGTTAATACTCCGTGCTTCCACTGCAGGGGGCGCGGGTTCAAGCCCTGGTCCGGGAAGATCCCACATGCCGCGGAGCAACTAAGCCCGTGTGCCACAACTACTGAGCCTGTGCTTTAGAGCCCGCGAGCCACAAGTACTGAGCCCGTGTGCCACAACTACTGAAGCCCGCGCAACTAGAGCCCATGCTCTGCAACAAGAGAAGCCACCACAATGAGAAGCCTGCGAAATGCAACGAAGTAGTCCCCGCTCGCCGCAACTAGAGAAAGCCCGTGTGCAGCAACGAAGACCCAATGCAGCCAAAAATAAATAAATAAATTTATTTTAAAAATCCTCTAATTAAAAAAAAAAAAGGCTTCTCAACATGCCCCAGTAAGTCTCACAGCCTCTCAAGCTCAACTCCATCAAAACTGAGCTCCGGGCTTCCCTGGTGGCTCACTGGTTAAGAATCCACCTGCCAGTGCAGGGGACATGTGTTCAAGCCCTGGTCCAGGAAGATCCCACACGCCGCGGAGCAACTAAGCCCGTTCACCACAACTACGGAGCCTGTACTCTAGAGCCCACGCGCTGCAACTACTGACCCCACGTGCCTAGAGCCCATGCTCTGCAACAAGAGAAGCCACTGCAGTGAGAACCCCACTCTCTGCAACAAAGAGTGGCTGCTGCTCGCCGAAGCTAGAGAAAGCCCGCGCACAGCAAAGAAGATCCAATGCAGCCAAAAATAAATAAATAAATTTATTAAAAAACTGAGCTCTGACTTATAATGTAAGTTAGACCATGACCCTCCTGTGCTCAAACCCTCTGTTGGCTCTTCATGGCACTCTATGTAAAAACCAAAGTTCTCCCAGTGCCCCCAGGCCTTTGCACTTGAAGATGCCTCCACCTGGAATGCTCTTCCCCTACATAGCTACACAGTTCCCTCTCTCAACTCCTTCAAGCCTTTCCTCAAGTATTACCTTCTCAGGGAGGCCTGCCCCTACCACCCTATTCAAAATTGCAAAAACCAAGCAATTGGCCCTTCCCTTCCCTGTGCAAACATTTTTTCTTTTTTTGCACACACTTATCATCTGCCCATAGACTATTTAAACTCTTCATTACCTCCTCCCTCGCTAGGATGTCAGTTCCACCAGGACAGAGATTTTGTTGTCTGTTCACCGCTGAACACCTGTGCCTCCTAGGCCAGGGCCGGGCACACAGTAGGTGCTCAATAAGTGTTTGCTAAATGAATGAACTAATCACTTGAGGATGCTGATAAACCAGGGAGGAACACAGACTGACCCTGAGCTCTCCACGTCCCTGTTCCGTCACCCTGCGGTCCTGCCTCCTCCAGGGAGCCCCTCTAAGGTAAGAGTCCTTCTGTCGGACATGAAGATGGGATCCTGAGAAGGGAGGGAAAGAAGTACCGTGTGCATGAGAGATACACCTAATGTCTGCATCTCTGCCAATATACTCACTCAGCTACATTTAGGAGCACCTACTCTGCGCCAGGTACTGTTTCCAGTAGTGAAAGAAAGAGGGACCCTACCCTGGTAGAGCTGACATACTAGTGGGGAGAGAAGCAATAAAATAAATACATAAGGTTAGAAGTGATAAGTTATTTGAAGAGAAATAAAGATGAATAAGCAATTAAAGGGTGAAGGGTGTGTGACTTTACACAAGTGGTCAGGGAAAGCCTAAGTAGGTGATATTTGAGCAGAGATCTGAATGGAATGAAAACAATTAGGGATAGATATCTGGGAGCTGAGTGCTCTAGGCAATGGAACAGCAAGTGCAAAGGACTTGAAATGGGGCTGTGTTGGGCATACTCCCATGTATATTACTGTGTGGAACTGTGTGATACGGGTGTCACTACTGGGTGATTGTGTATTTAGAGTGTTGCAAAGTGAGGTGAACCATGGGGCTGAGGTTGTGCATTTGACAGGGGAATGTAACAGCATGCCTCGTGTGTGTGTGTGTGGTGACAATGGTATGGTTGTATCAGAGTGTGTTTTTGTATGCGTGCAAGGGAAAGGGTGTGGGGGCATGAATGTGGGAAAGAGGGTGTATGGGATGCGTTGTGTCAGGATAGGACATGGCTGTGAGCATGTGAGTGATGGGGATTCTGGAAGTGAAATATATGCAGGGATGCCGTGTGTGTGTGTGTGTGTGTGTGTGTGTGTGTGTGTGTGTGTGTCTATGTATTTGGAGAGGGATGTGGGGGTACCCAGCTTTGTGAGTGGGTGTATTGGGGGATGTTGTGGAGCTGTGTTCTGGCCCCAGAGGGAGAGAGAAAGCCCTGGAAATCTCAGTTCGGCTCTGCCCCTGGGTCTCCTGGCAACAGCACCACTTTGAAGTTACCAGGAGACAGAGTTGCTAGGGCAACAGGGGCGTGAGTGGCAGCTCTGGGGAGAAGTCTGGGTGAAGAGACCCAACCAGTGATCACGTGATCATTCACCTTGTTCCTCCTTCTCTCCCAGTTTCTCATCAGTTCTACCTTCCTTTCTTCATTCATTCCTTTAGCGAACCTGTACTGAGAATCTGCAATGCCCTAGGCACTGACTGGGCACTGGAGATACCGAAGTGAACGTGACAAACAACGTCGTGCTGTGGCTCTCCCTCAGACTCCCAGCCCCTTCATCTTTGCCTCTTCTCTCCTGGCCCTTTTTTTATTCTATGGTCCTGCCTCCCATTGTACCCCGAGCAGGACTCCAGAAGCCCCCAGGCCAACGAGGAGGCCAGCTGAGACTCTTCTTCTTAGAGACCCTCAAAGACAGCTGCTTTGCTGTCTGACGGATGTTTTGCACACGAATGTCCTCAAGCCTGCAGCCCCCCCCCCCATTTGTGCAAGTACTCAGGTACAGAGAGAGACACAAGCACATAGCTCCTCCATCTCTCCCCTTCTTCATTGTCACTGGGTAACATCAGCAGAAACACACACATGCGCATCACAATATTCCTCTGAGATACCATGTGCTCCATTTTACAGGTGAGCAAACTGAGGCTAGGAGACTTTAAGTAATGTGTCAGTGATTAGGGCCTACTCCCTCCAACTCTCAACCCTTGTATTGTCTGATTAGCTTATTAGCTCAGAATAATAGTATTCATGCTGCTTCCGCCAGCGGACTCACCCAGGGAAGGGCCTTATCTCTCTCAAAGGCCTCCATTCCTTCCTCAGACTAGGTTATTTGCCCCTTCACCGGGGGAGGAGCTAGGAAACGTCGATCTAGCTTTGATGAACAGATCATTGGACCAATGGAGAAGCTAAGTGCACTGTAACCAATGCGACCCCGCCCTGGGCGGGATCAAGGGCAGGAACGGGCCGCCGATTGGACAGAGGTACGCTGCGAATGGCGGAGACGCTGAGGCGGGTGCTAAACTTGGGCAGCGCGGCTGGCCCCGGAGAGGAGAACACAGCTGAGGCCGAGCCGCCTTTGCTGCTGCTCGGCGGTCACGGCTCTGGAAAGACAGCGCTGCTATTTGCGGCGGCCCTGGAGGCGGCAGGGGAAGGCCGAGGCCCCGTCCTCTTCCTGACTCGGAGGCCTCTGCAACGCCTGCCTCGCGGGATTGGAGCTGCGCTCGAACCCTTGCGGTTACAGGTGGGGCGGAGCGGGACCAGAGGCGGACCAGCCAGTAACGAGGCGGATGGAGGATTGAGTGACAGGCAGAGACAGACCAATGGCGGAGACGAAGGGAGGGCAAGCCGGAGCAGCCATTATGGGACGGAGTCTGGAACGAGCTGGGGGTGGGACTACGCGGAGCTTTGTTAAGATTGACTGAGAAGCCGTCCAATGAGGGGGCGGAATTAGCAAAGGGTGGTGCCCAAAGACGAGTCAGGGGCGAGTAGGGGGCGGGGCTAAACATGGGTCGGGTCTGGACTAGAGTTTCTGGGCCGCAGGAGTCAATGCAGGGGTCGGACGTTATGGGCAGGTTTTCCGTGGAAAGATTGCCCTAGAGATTTGACAAAACGATATACCTTGTTCTTAACTAATACCGGGAAGTGATGAGTGCAGAATTAGAAAAACAAAAAGTAAAACGGGGGCGGGGGGCGGGCGTGGCGAACGGAAGAATATTCGATCACTCTGAGCTAGCTGCTCCACTCTGGAATCAGCGGTCTGGGGAGTGAGAACCACGTCCAGGAAAGTATGCAAGGAAGCAGGGCTGCTATAGCTGAGAGCCTGGCTTCCTGTGATGAATCTGACCGTTTCCTTTTTTCCTCTCTCTAGAAGATCCGCTTCCAGTACCCACCCTCAACCTGTGAGCTCCTCCGGCTCCTGTGCTCTGCCCATGAGACCCGGGGGCCAGCCCCCTCCCTCCTGCTGCTCGATGGCCTGGAGGAGTACCTAGCAGAAGACCCCGGGTCCCAGGAAGCCGCCTACCTGGCCGCCCTGCTTCTGGACACAGCTGCCCACTTCAGCCACCGGGCTGGGTCTGGCCGGGGCTGTGGGCTCATTGTGGCCCTCCAGACCCAGGAGGAGGGAGACAGTGCGACTGCCCTGCAGTTGGCACTGCTTCAGAGGTATTTCCCTGCCCAGTGCTGGCTGCAGCCCGATGCACCAGGCCCAGGACAGCACTGCCTCCGAGCCTGCCTGGAGCCAGGTGGGCTGGGTGCCAGGGCAGAGTGGCGGGTGACTTTCCGACAAGATGGAGAGATGACAGTCACCCCGTGGCCCACGCAGGCTGGTGACACCAGCTTGCACAAGGGTTCAAGCTCTGGAGGCCAACCTTGAGGTTTGGAGTGTGACAACCTCTCTATGCTTCAGTTTCCATGGCTGGAATACCTACCTCAGGGACAGATGCAAATTCAGAGACCTAAAGATTATAAAGTGCTGTTTCTCTCCTAAATATAGCATTATCTTGTACATATTGTCAACATATTGTTTAACTTCGCTGTTTTGAACTTTGTAAAGAGTTTCATGATAAATGTAATCTGAGACTTCCTTCTTCTCCCGCTCAACATTGTTACTAAGACTCGGCTGTGGGACTTCCCTGGCGGTCCAGTGGTTAAAACTCCATGCTTCCAGTGCATGGGACACGGGTTTGATCCCTGGTCTGCGAACTAAGATCCCACATGCCATGCAGCGCAGCCAAAATACAAAAAACATTCGGCCACATTTTTTCATTCATTCCATTTTCCATACTTTGTATAATTCCTTGGGTGACTATACCCCAATTTACTCATCAGATTGACTTATTTACTGCTATTAACACTCTTGTACACATATCCTGGTTCATGTGTGTGAGGGTTTTTAGGGTACATACCTAGAAGTGGCATTGCTGGAGTAGAAGGTATGCATATGTTCAGGTTTCCTAGGTTATGTCAAACTATTTAAAAGTGGTTAAACCAGAACTCCCACTGAGCCACTTGATGACATTTGGTGTCATCAGAGTGCTGTCTTAGGACAGAGCCTGATTCAGAATAAAGCCCTAGGAATGAATGTTATTGGTATTATTATTAGTGGCAGAGACTAGCTAGCAGCTCATTAAACAGCTTTTCTCTCTTGGGTGCACAGCTAAACTACATTTCCCAGCTGTCCATGGTTCTTGCTAGGGTCACATGACCATTTCTGCCGGGTAGAATTTGTGAAGAAGAGAGGGTGCCCACCTCTAGGCTAGGTCCCTAAAGGCCACAGAATCTTCTGCCGTCTCTCTCTTGTTGGCTGGCAGGATGCAGAGGATCCATCTAAAGACCCCAGGGTAGCCCTGGGGGATGGTAAACTTACAGTCTGGGCTTCTGACTCATCCCAGGGATAGCTGCCCACCTGTTTGAATTGAGAAATGAGAGAGAAAATAGTTAATGTGTTAAGCCACTCAGTTTCAGGGCAGCTTTGTTAGGGCAGCTAGCATAACATACTAACTAATTCATTTTATTATTATTATTCAGATTGCCAGGTCAGAATTTCAGACTGAACTCAAGGCCTTTTACTGTTTCTCCTATGGCCTGGGCCCAGGGAAAAGATGGGGCTTACAGGTATTTATAGAAGTCATGACAGAAAACTTATATATATTTATATATCTACACAAAAGACTGTACATTTAAAATTACTGCAAGGTTGTGACTTTCTGACCAGGATGAATTGAGCAGAAAGCCAAGGTCAGCAGGCCTCACTGACCCTGCCGGATAAATCTTGGGCCTGGAGTAGCACTTGAGGTCATTCTGGGTCCCCGTGCATCTGAGGGCTGGAGTCCTAGGAGCAGGCCACGTAGCTCGGGGGTGAAGGCTCGGAGGCTGGGATAAGGCTGTTCTCATAAGGGTTGGAGTAGGGGCCATTGGATGAGCCCCTCTGGGCTTCCTGGGAACCCCCATAGCTGTAGTCATTTGAGATGCCAGAGTCAGACACCACGAGGTACAGGTACTTTAGGTGGGGTGGGGTAGGGGGCAACTCAGGGGGAAGTGCCCTCGGGCGCAAGAGCTGGGAGCTGGGATCCAGGATGGTGTACTCAAAGCTGGCAGCCGAGGCCCCCTCTGACACAGGCTTCAGGGCCAAAGCGGATGAGCAGGAGAATGCTTCTGAGGCTTCATCCATGGCTGCTATGTCCAAATTGCCACCAGGCTGTGGGAGGTCCTCGCTGGGTGGGCTCCGGGGCAGCAAGCACTTGTCCAGCACCAGGTAGCTGTCTTGGGCATGCTCGCTGCCCACCGGCTCCAACAGGGGCCCCTCATCATCTGCCCCCGACTCCACTGCCTGTGTCACCTCCCAGCAGCGCTCAGAGAGGACCTCCAGGGAGGCAGGTGGGTCCTCTGTGAAGGGGGTGCAGGGGCTCCACCACAGACAGCCATCAGTTTGGTACAGCCACAGCTGGGGAAATAGCAGCACCCTGCTCAGAGACTGGGGATTTGGCCACAGGAGCAGGGAAACCCCAGGCCCTGAGGGGACAGCCAGGTGACCTACCTGGAAGTTACCCTTGTGGGTGGTGAAGAGGCCCTCAAACTCGCTCTCGGGGCTTGGGATGCCAGGCCATATCTTCTGCTTCAGAGTCCTAGTGAAGCCAAAAGAAACGAATACCTGGGCGTGTGTCACTGAACATTCACCAGCACCCCCTCAGCACCAGTCACAGGGCAAAGATACTCCTAGCCCCTTGTGATCATGACGAAGGCATAGGAGTGTGTGGGGCTGAGGAACAGGGGCTCGCCCAAAGCATCTGCCAGGCTCTACAGAAGGGCAACTGGAACAAAGTTTTGAAGGATGCATAGGAGTTCAATATGCTCCCTCTAAAACCCACCCAGTCTTGTCTGAAGGTCCATTATGTTACTTCCCTCCTCACTCCTTTCCATAGTTCCCCAATGCATTCAGAATAAAATCCCGATTCCCCCCCCCACAGCCCTGCAGAAGACCCTGCATGGTCTGACCTCTGTCACCTCCTTCATCTCACCATCCACCACTTACCCCCTTACACACTCTTCTCTAGCCATACAGCTCTTCTTGCAGCTACTTCAATGTTCCAAGCTCATTCCCACCGCAGGGCCTTTGCACTTGCTGGTTTTTCTCCCTGCTTTTCATGTGGCTGCCTCCTACCAGACTTCAGGTTTCTGCTCTGATGTCACCTCCCCGAGGCCTTTCCTGACTATCCTGTCATGGCCCCATCCCCATTTATTTCTGTGATATCACTCATCACAATTTATAATCAAATATATGTTGATTCCCTTATTTGTTGTGTGACTCAGCTGTGAGATCCACAAGGTCAGGGATACGTCTGGTTTGTTGTACACTTTCTCCCCAGTGCCTAGCACAGAGCTGGCATTCAGTATGTGTTTTCCAACCAAGTAAATGAACAGGGCCTTGAAAGACAACTAGGAGATTGCTTGGCAAACATGGCAAGAAGGACATTCCTGGCAGAAGGAACAGTATGTGCCAAGCCTTGGGTGTGTGAAAACACATGGTTTGTACTTGGAATTACAAAAACCTCAGGATGGCTGGTCATATAGTAAAGCATCTAAGGAGCTTGACAACAGGGGTGGGAGGCACTTGGGGTTAAATCGTTTCAGTAAGCCCATCTGGTTGATTTTACAGAAGTTGATGAAATTGGGGAAAAGTACAAAGGAATCCAAGAAGGGGCAGCCACTGAGGTAGGAGGAAAACCAGGTGAAAGTAGGCCCAAGAGCAGAGAATTTTAAGTAAGAGTCTGCGTCTGACCTGGCTTGCATCCCAGTCCTGCCACTGACTCCTCATTTTGTGACCCTGGGCAAGTGCCTGCCCCTCTTTGAGCCTAGGTTCCCACAGGGAAAGGAGAACGTTGGTGGGGAGGAATCTGAGCCAGGTGCCGAGTGGGGCGCTCACCGGCGGTGGGAGAGCAGGGTTAGCACGGCCAGCAGCAGCAGAATGAGCACGAGGACGAGGGAGAGCGTCAGGATGAGGGGGTCCAAGTCTGGGGAGCAGGGAGGAGGTCAGGGCGGTGAGCTTGCCCCATGCTCCGCCCAGCCCCTTCTACACCCCTGCCTGGGGCCTCACCACTAGCCGTCAGCAGCGACACAGGCTCGGACCAGGCGCTCCAGAAGCCACCGAAGCTCGGCTCGGCCATACGCGCGCGTACCTTGAAGGTGTAGCGCGTTCCGCCCCGCAGGTTGCTCAGCACGCACTCAGTGCGGCCGTCGAGGATCTCCACCTGGAGGCGGGGCCCAGGTGAGAGGTGTCGCCAATAGGGGCGGGGCGGGCAAAGGATGGCATGTGAGGGTGGGCCCTGAGGGACCGAGCCAATCAGAGAAAGGAAGAACCGAGCCCAAGCATGGGGAGGCGGGCAATGAAAGCAGGAGGCGGGACCCAGGAAGGGTCGGGGCCAATCAAGATGGGGCCCCAGGTAGAAGAGGGCGGGCTCGGGCTATTTGCGGGGCCAGAGCACAGAGGGGGCGGGCCCTGAAGAAGTCTAGGGTTTGGGACAAGGGTTAATTTAAGTGTGATTGAGTCCAGGTGGGCTGGGGAAAGGGGACATTGGGAAAGGGGACAAGTCGGTGGACGTAGAGCTGTCTTGGGCGGGAGGTGGAGGGGCGAGGCCATGGGGGCGGGGTCGTGGTGACCGTCTGGGTGGGACCTAGAGGGCCTGTCAACTCTGGAGCCCTTGGGGCTAGGCCGTAGGAGCGAGCCTCACCCTCTGCGCGCCACCAGCGGCGTTCTCTGCCGAGATGTTCATCTCATAGCGAATGAGCCTTGCCATGGGTGCCCCGGGCGGTGGGAGCCAGCGCAGAACCACATGGCCGCCCTCGTCTGCCCGCCGCGCCAGCAGCCCAGCGGGAGGGTCTAGGAGCACTGTGGAGAGGGGTTGCTCAGGTGGGCGGAGACTGGGACTCCCTCCCGACCACTCTCCCGTTCCCAGCGCTCTTACCCACTTCGTTGATATGGATGATACGGCGGTAGCGTGAAGAGCCCGAGGAGGCCGCAGTGACGCGCAGCTCTAGGGGCACGAAGCTCGACGTGTCGGCTGTAGGCAGCGAGCACCAGAAACGCACCAAGCCGCGGGTGGTGGGCGCCTGATGCAGGCGGCACGGCTTCCACGGCTCACCCCTGTTCGCCCAGGAACCAGCGAGGGTAGGGAGCAAGTTGGGAGGCATTGCCGGGACCGAGGGTGCGTTCTGGACACTACCACCAGGGGGCGTCCCAGCCCCGACGTACGCGACGCATTAGTCCTGCTTTGGTGCGGTGTTGTCCCAGCCCTGAAGTTTGGGGTCGCACTCCAGCAGTGATCACGGGAGTGTTCCAGCCCCGACCACTAGGCAGCGTGTCAGCCCTGACCCCGTGGGCTTCCCAGTAGTGACTACCAGCGGAGGTGCCATCCGGCCCCCGGCACCAGGAGTCCCAAGGTGCGAGCTCCGGGGAGCGCTGCTCGGCCCGCCCGCCCCCTCCACCTGTGGGGCGCTCCACTTGCCCCGTCGGACTCACTCGAGCTGGTAGGAGAAGCTGTAGTTGTCCGGACCGACCCCGGCGCTTGCCACTTCCTCCCAGAAACACACCAAATCCTCCAACCTCTCGGTGAAGCACAGAAACTCTTCAGGCTCACGGGCTGTCATCAGGGCCGCTGGGGATGGGGGCCAGGGGAGGGGGTCAGAAGACCCGAGCCCCGTCCTCTGGCCACAGCATCCTCCCCTCCCTCCTGCCGCCTGTGCGGACCGATAAGAAAAATGCCCCGCCCCTCTGTCTACCCCAGCGGGGCCCTTCGAGGGGTCTGCAGAAGTGCTGCCCCCCGAACTCCCATGCGTAGGTTGCATGTCTTATTGTCTCCCCACACACGCCTGCCCACCCCGCGACCGGCTGAGCTGAGCGCAGCATTCAAGGCCTCCGCCTCCCGCTGCCGGCCCCGCCCCAGCCCAGGACGTGCGTGAGGGTGAGTGAGTGTGTGCAGGAGGCGGGGTCCCCTATCAGCCCCGGCAGGCTCCCGGCTGCCCGATAGCGCCAACCGTGCCCCCCGCCCCCGCTCCCTCAACCCCACGGACCCAGGGATATGGCTGGCGCCCGCATGCAAACAGTGTTTATAGACGCCTGCGGCCCGGCCCCTCTGACTCGGACCCTGGTTTTAGCCTCCCTCCCCCACTGGAGGGTCGGCTAGGTCCCCTCCCCTTGGGGACTCTAGACTACAGGGCCTAGAACCAGCACCACCCCTGCCCCATTTAGTGTTTAGCATGTGTCAGACTCCTTGAGAAGATAAAACAGGACTCTTACGCCCCTCTCTAGCTTCTCCCGCAGACGCAGTCTGGGGATACAGACCCGCAGTATGCCATATCAGGTCCCAGTCTAGGGTTCAGACACCAGCTGGGGCTCCAGGACACAGAATCGGGTTCAGAACCTGGCATAGCCCCCAGGACCCAGGCTGGAAGTTCAGGCCCCAGCATTGTCCTCCAGGACCTAGTGCGGGGGTCCACACTCAGCTCCACCCTTACCTTTCCTTTCAAACTTGGGATCCGGTGGGTTGGGTGGGGGAGCCCAGGTTGCCCCAGCGAGTAGGAGACAGAGGAAGCCAACTCCAGGCCAGAGGGGTGCCCCAAGATGATACATGATGCAGCCCCTGCCACGGGAGGCCCAGGGCTCCTGCCACCCCCCCTTCCTCTGCCCCAGGCACAGTCCACAGCTGGGTCAGCAGCTGCCTCCGCCGGACACAGCTGACCAGGCCTTCCCGGCCAGGCGCCTCCAAGTGGCAGCTCCCCCGAGGGGGCGGGACCAGCAGGCAGCCTGGGCTGAGATAAGAGGGAGGCAGCCGCCCTGCCGGGTCTGGCTAGAGAGGGCAGAGGCCCTCCAGGGTCTGGGGGCCCCTTGGGGGGTGGGGTGGGGGGGTGGCGGGAGCAGCTCTGGTTTCTGCGTAGGACCCACTTTCTTGCTGTGTGACCCTGAACAGGTGACTTACCTTATCTGAGCTTCAGCCTTTTCATCTGTAAAATCCGACTTGACACATAGCAAACATTCCAAAAATGTAAGCTACTGATATTATCGTGCTAATCAACATCTCTTCCCAGTCTGGGTAGGAAAATAATAATCATAATAGTGAGTAGTGGTTGAGTGTTTGCACAGTGTTGGGCAGTGCTGCCGGACAGTATGTGTGAAAGAGCCTGCATTTGTAAAATTACATATATTCTGGAGTGTGAGGTTTCAATGTGTTATTTTTTTGCATTTTTTTTTCTGCTTACATTTCTATACTATTGGGATTTTATTTTACAAGGAGTGTGCAGTTCTTTTAATAATCTGGAAAGTATAGAACAAACTATAAAAGCTTTTCACCTGGGGTGAGCTTAAACTGGTATAAACACCCTCCCCACAGAGGTACATGCCTGGGGAAGGCGGAGGGGTTGGTGCTGATACCTACCTCATTGCTGCAGCCTGCCCCAGATTAGCCAATCAGAGAGCTCCATTCCGGGACTTCCCTGGTGGCGCAGTGGTTAAGAATCCGCCTGCCAGTTCAGGAAACACAGGTTCGAGCCCTGGTCTGGGAAGATCCTATATGCGGCGGAGCAACTAAGCCTGTGCGCCACAACTACTGAACCTGCGCTCTAAAGCCCGCAACCACAGCTACTGAGCACGTGTGCCACAACTACTGAAGCTCACGCGCCTAGAGCCCGTGCTCCACAACAAGAGAAGCCACCGCAATGAGAAGCCTGCCCACTGCAATAGAGTAGCCCCCGCTTGCCTTAACTAGAGAAAGCCCACGCCCAGCAACGAAGACCCATAAATAAATAAATTTATTAATTAAAAAAGAGAGAGGGCTTCCCTGGTGGCGCAGTGGTTGAGAGTCCGCCTGCTGATACAGGGGATACGGGTTTGTGCCCCGGTCCGGGAAAATCCCACGTGCCGCGGAGCAGCTGGGCCCGTGAGCCATGGCCGCTGAGCCTGTGCGTCCGGAGCCTGTGCTCCGCAACAGGAGAGGCCACAACAGTGAGAGGCTCGCGTACCGCAAAAAAAAAAAGAGAGAGAGAGAGAGAGAGAGAGAGAGAGCTCCATTCCCTGGAGCACAGTGATTGGTTCAGGGACAGCATGTGACCGAAAGGGATCCAGTGAGTTTCCATCATGGGACTGTTACTGGGAAATGGGGTGCCGCTTTCTGTTGGATGTTGAGGTGAGCAGATGACTAGCCAGAGACATCTTTGCCATTAGGAGGGAAAAAATTGCCTGATGATGAAGCTAATGTGGGCTTCTGAACTGTCTGTTACCTCCACCCGTAGACTCTTCCTCTAACTAGACATGGGGCTCACTCCTTCACTTTACGCAGGCCTCTGCCTATATGTCACCTCCTCAATGAAGCCCTCCTTGCTCGCCGTATTTAAAATAGCAACCCTCGGGCTTCCCTGGTGGTGCAGTGCTTAAGAATCTGCCTGCCAAGGCAGGGGACACGGGTTCGATTCCTGGTCGGGGAAGATCCCACATGCTGCGGAGCAACTAAGCCTGTGCGCCACAACTACTGAGCCTGCTCTCTAGAGCCCGCGAGCCACAACTACTGAGCCCCCGTGCCACAACTACTGAAGCCCATGCACCTAGAGCCTGTGCTCGGCAACAAGAGAAGCCACTGCAATGCGAAGCCTGCACACCGCAATGAAGAGTAGTCCCTGCTCACCGCAAGTAGAGAAAGCCTGCATGCAGCAACGAAGACCCAACACAGCCAAAAGTAAAAACAAACAAACAAACAAACAAATAAATAAATAAAATAGCAACCCTCTAGCCCCACACTCCCCATCAGCCCTTAAACGGCTTAGTAGTAGTAGCAGCCTTTTGCATTCTCTGTACTTATTATATCTGATACGTATTTGATGCTTTGTTATTGATTCACCACCTTCACTAGTCCGTTTTGTTCATTTCTGCATCCCCAGCACCTAGAACAGGGCCTGCCATACAGTAGGAGGTCAGGAAATATTTGTGGAGTAAAAGATTAGTGAAAAACCAAGCTGAGAGATGTAGAGAAACAGTTGACTTTGTGTTAGCCACTGGATAGAGCTGTTCCTGAGTACTTCTGCACTTAAAAAAAAAATAAATTTATTTATGTATTTTTGGCTGTGTTGGGTCTTTGTTGATGCACGCAGCCTCTCTCCTTGCGGCGAGTGGGGGCTACTCTTCGTTGCGGTGCGTGGGCTTCTCATTGTGGTGGCTTCTCTAGTTGCAGAGCACTGGGCTCTAGGCGCACAGGCTTCAGTAGTTATGCCATTTGGGCTCAGTAGTTATGGCTCGGGGGCTTAGTTGCTCCGCAGCACGTGGGATCTTCCCGGTCCAGGGCTCAAACCTGTGTCCCCTGCTTTGACAGGCAGATTCTTAACTACTGCACCACGAGGGAAGTCCTGTCCTGCACTTTGAAAAACAGAAGACGGGGAATTCCCTGGTGGTCCAGTGGTTAGGATTCCATGCTTCCCCTGCAGGCGGCATGGGTTCTGTTGCTGGTAGGGAAACTCAGATCCCACAAGCTGGGCAAACAAACAAACAAAACACAGAAGCCAATGAGAATCTCTTCCTCGGGAAATTGGCATTTGGATTGAGTGTGTGTGTATGTGTGAGTGAGGGAGAGAGGGAGGGAGAGAGAGAAACTGTAAACTGTGATTGTGAGAGGCAATCTAGCCCTGTTAGTAAGTGCATGTGTTCTGATGTATTGCAGGCCATTCAGGTTTGAACCCCAACCTTGCCACTTACCACTTACTTAACCCTCCCTAGTCTCAGTTTTTCATGTATAAAATGGGCATGATAGGGCTTCCCTGGTGGCGCAGTGGTTGAGAGTCCGCCTGCCGATGCAGGGGAAACGGGTTCGTCCCCCGGTCTGGGAAGATCCCACATGCCGCGGAGCGGCTGCGCCCGTGAGCCATGGCCGCTGAGCCTGCGCGTCCGGAGCCTGTGCTCCGCGATGGGAGAGGCCACAAGAGTGAGAGGCCCGCGTACTACAAAAAAATAAATAAATAAATAAATAAATAAAATGGGCATGATAATAGTGCACCCCTCCCTGCCCCCACATAAGGCTATTGTGAGGATTATGAGACAGATTATGTCAACTTCTGAGAACATGCCTTGTGCATTGTAAGGACTCAGTAAGGATAGCAAATATTTGCTTAAGCTAACTTAAGAAGGATGCTGTTACTCACATCTGGTTGGTCTTTTTTTTTAATTAAAACTTAAAAAAAATTTTATATTTATTTTTCATTATTATTATATTTTTGGCTGCGTTGGGTCTTGGTTGCTGCACGCAGGCTTTCTCTAGTTGCAGCGAGTGGGGGCTGCTCTTTGCTGCGGTGCGCGGGCTTCTCATTGTGGTGGTTTCTCTTGTTGTGGAGCACGGGCTCTAGGCGCGCGGGCTTCAGTAGTTGCAGCACGCAGGCTTGGTAGTTGTGGCGCACGGGCTTAGTTGCTCCGCGGCACATGGGATCTTCCCAGACCAGGGCTCAAACCCATGTCCCTTGCATTGGCAGGCGGATTCTTAACCACTGTGCCACCAGGGAAGTCCCGATTGGTCTTAATGTCTTAATACTTAGAGAAAAAAAAAATCCTGTAAAGTAGCGTGCTGTGTGCTTAACTGTTTTTCATGAGGCCCTACATGATACCTAGATTCTTCTAGCTCCTCTCCCACTCCAGACAATGCCTGGGCATCCCCCATTATTTTACCAGGGACAATGTTTGGAACCCTAGGGATTTTTTTTTTTTTTTTTTTTTTTTTTTTTTGCATGTTCCCCAGAATTCTCCCTTTTCCTAGTAACAGCAAATGTAATTTCTATTTACATGCCCTCCCAGACTCCATTCCTGTGATTTGAAATGTCTCTGCCAGCTGACAGAATGAGCACAGGACCCAGGCCTGGCCAATGAACATATCACATTCCTCTGAACACAGTGATTGGCTCAGGGGTGGTTACAAGACACGCTGGTCCAGTCAGCATCTGCTCTGGGACTTTTGCTGGAGCTGATGGGATGAAGGGATTTTCCTTGCATGGGAAGGTGGAGCTGGTGGGATGTAAGCCTGGCACTGCCCCAACGAGGGTGAGGCTGCCTTGGAGTGGGGCAGTAGTCATTTAAATGTCCTTTTGGCTACTGTAATAGAGACCCAAATCATAATGTGATGCCTTAAATAAGATAGGCATTTAGTTCTCTCTTTTGTAACAATCCAAGTAGGAGCAATACAATAAGGCTGCTCCCTGGTCTCAGAGGGCCACACTCCTTCCAGTTTGTGGCTCAGTTATTCAGAGGGTATGAACCACGTACTCCAAGATGATCTACCCCACATCCTCATTCTAACCACCAGGACGCAGAAAAGGAAGGAGAGGACACAACCCTTCTCTTCAAGGGCAGAGCCTGGAATTTACCCACATACTTTCCCTTTACATCTCATTGGCTAAGACTTTGTCATATGACCACATTTTGCTGCAAGGGAGACTGGAAATGTGGTTTTTACTCTGGGTAGCCAGCTAAAAATCAGTGTTTCCATTACCATAGACGAAGGTGAATGGATTTAGGGAGACAATGGACAGTCTCATTCTCAGAGCAAATCAGAGGCAAGAAATTTTGTTACAAAGTCCTGGTGACATCTTTTGAGTCCCTGGATCCAACTGTGCCTGAAGCTGGACCCATGGAACTTTACAATTACACGGGCATTCATTTCCTTTTTTGCACATACCTGTTTGATTTGGGTGTTTGACCACTTGAAACAGAAAGAACCCTGATTAATACAGTTAGATATAAAGCCCCTAGTTGATGTCTGGCAGAGTGGGAGTTCATGAGTCAGTATCATTATTGTTGTTGTTATGATTATGTTGCGGGTGGCCCTACAGCTCACTTCGTCTGTGCCTTCTCTACGTGTTTCTTCATCCTACCCCAGTACCGCTAGCTCACCCCTCTCATCCTCACAGCCCTTAATGACTCATGGGTGATGATGTTATTTGTCTCTGATTCCAATGAAATTTCTTCTTCACTCTCCCATATACATGGCAGAAAAGAATCATATCACCCCAACAATGTTGAGGGAGGGAGTCCTGAACCCTCTGTTTGTGACAGAGACCCCCCTGGATTCAAGTCATGCCTCACCCAACCCCTTTCTTAGGGCTCTTAAGTTTTTCTCTCTCTCTCTCTTTCTTTCTTTCAATTCTTATCTTTTTTTTTTTTTTTTTTTTTTTTTTTGCGGTACGCGGGCCTCTCACCGTTGTGGCCTCTCCCGTTGCGGAGCACAGGCTCCGGACGCGCAGGCTCAGCGGCCATGGCTCACGGGCCCAGCCGCTCTGCGGCATGTGGGATCTTCCCGGACCGGGGCACGAACCCGTGTCCCCTGCATCGACAGGCGGACTCTCAACCACTGCGCCACCAGGGAAGCCCTCAATTCTTATCTTGATGAAAAGTGAACGTGAAGCACAGGCGCAGAACAAACAAGACTGACTCCTGTTTCATAACTTTGATCACTATTTTCATCCACTTCTATCACTTCAGATGTGTCTCCAGCAGTTACAAGATTTCTCTGGGGGAGGGTCTGACCCCTGACACCACACCCCTTTCTATGTTTATGGGATGAGCTCTCCACCAGCCACCCATGGGCTGATGTCTTTGGAATAGGGGTCTGGTGCCAAAAGGGTCAGAGGGATGAGGTCCAATAAAGTTTGGGGAGGGGGGAGTTTACAGGGTATGGAGGACAACGGCCTCTACTGGGGAATGAGAGATTTCCAGAGAAGAGCTCCCTCCCTGCCCCCTGGTGAGAGAAGCCAGGCCCCTTGCTGCCCATGGGGCCCATGTCCTGGAGGAGGGGGAGAACCACCTCAGACTGGGGAGACTGAGGTGGTGTGCCGGGCCCCCTCCTTCCGTCGCAGCACGAAGTCTCCAGGGGCGGCTGGGCTCATTGCGTAGAAGACATTGGCATTGTCAGGAATCAGGAGCTCTGACCAGGGGCGGAGATGATGGTGAAAGGCCCACACAACCTCATACTTCCCTCACAAAGGACCTAGGTAACCTTCCACCATGCACCTTGGAGCCTGAACAACCTTGGGTCCCTTCAGCTAGTGCTAAGCCAACCTCATTCTCCTCTTTGTGAACCTAGACCATGTCCCACTCAAAGCCTGCACAACCTCATGTCTCCCCCCACCTCCAACCCCGTGAACCTGGGCTACCTCCTGCTATTTCCCCCTGGAGTCTAGACAACCTGCACTACAAGCTTGAACAAAGTCAGGCCACCCAGACCAATCAACTTCCTGCCCATCCCACCCTTCCCCTGCAGCCAACTCCCAGCCAAGTTCACGCTGCTCTCACCATGAACTTGGACAACTTCTGACTTCCCACTTCCAGCCTGTACAACCCTCACACTTGACATGTGAACAACCTCATGTATCCTTCCTAATGTCCAGCCAACCTTACATCATGCCCTTTAATATGTCGCTCTCTCTCTGGTTTCTTTTTTGGCCACACTGTGGGGCTTGCGGGATCTTAGTTCCCCGACCAGGGACGGAACCTGTGCCCCTTGCAGTGGAAGCACAGAGTCCTAACCACTGGACTGCCAGGGAATTCCCTAGCATGTCAATCTCTTGCCTCTCTCTCTTTTTTTTTCCTACATTTTTTTCTCCATTTAAAAAACTTTTTAATTGAGGTATAGTTGATTTACAATATTGTGTTAATTTCTTCTGTACCACAAAGTGACTCAGTTATACATATATATATGTATTCTTTTTCATATTCTTTTCGATTATGGTTTGTCACAGGATACTGAATATAGTTCCCTGTTGCCTCTCCCTCTTTTTTTTCTTTTTTTTTTTTTTTTGCGGTACACGGGCCTCTCACTGTTGTGGCCTCTCCCGTTGTGGAGCACAGGCTCCAGACGCGCAGGCCCAGTGGCCACGGCTCACGGGCCTAGCCGCTCGGCGGCATGCGGGATCTTCCCGGACCGGGGCACGAACCCGTGTCCTCCGCATCGGCAGGCGGACTCTCAACCACTGCGCCACCAGGGAAGCCCCTGCCTCTCCCTCTTGAAAACTGGACAACCTCCTACTCACCTGTACACTGAACGATCTCATGCTTCCCTACCCTGAATTTCAGTACCATGTGGCCCTCTCCTATGCCAAGTTCAGGTAAATTCAGAGTCCCCATGCTGAGCCCGGACAAACTCATTTCCCCTCAGATCCAAGCCCAGACCCTGCTTCAGTCTTGTGCTCCACCAGGTTGAGCCTGAATAACCTCATGATTCTACAAATTTAAGCCCGGATGACCTTCTACACTCCCTCTCCACTGGACCCTGGACAATCTCATTTCCCCATAAATCCTAGGACGTCACCTTTGGTGCCCGCTTCCCTCACACTGAGACAGGACAACTTCATGACCCCACCTAATAAAGGTACCAATATTTTTCTGCCTCTTACCCCAACCCTGCTTCATCTCACCCCTACTCTGTGCCAGAGCCATCCCGGTCAGTCTGCCGCCCCCCTCCTGAAGCTGCCCCCCAGCTGTGGCTCCAAGCTGTCCCTGCTCACCCCTGTCCCCAGGAAGGGCTTGGAAGAGCTGATAGTCCTGGGCCCAGGGCTGAGCCACATTGTGCTTTTCCAAGGCTCGCTGCACCACGCTGGGGGCCTTGTCCTGACTAGTGAGCTGGGAAGAGAGGGCGGGAGGTGAGGGATGACAGCCCAAGCCCCAAGGGCAGGGTTGCTACCAGCAGGTCCCAGGCACAGCCCCTCACCAGGATGCTCCGATACAGATTTCCATGGTCATTGTCGATGCTGACTCGGACGACGCAGGCCTCTGAGCCCTGCTGCCCCGGGAGGGAGATGTGAGGGCCACTCAAGGGCAAGGCCAGGGTCCGGGGGCCTGGTAGGTCTGGGCTCAGTGGCAGCTGTAGGCAGTGGGGTGGGGACTGAGCGGTGAGAGCACGAGGCCCCTCCCTCACTGTATGCAACACGTCTTCCTGCACACCCCAAGCCTGGGACATGCAATTAGGGTACATACACAAGCCCACATCTATGCACTCCCATCACATACAGACTTTCACGCCCTGTTACATGAATTCACACATGACTCATGTTCACACACAAGAAACCCTGTGTAACCAGAGAGCGGCAACTGCACCCATTTGCTCACAATTGTTGGATACGCACAAGCCCATGTCCATGAAAAACCCTGCACATGGTCCTGTGGATGTTGTGGATATTCATGCCCGCATTTCCCCTCCAGGTATGCAGATTCCTAGGAAAATGCATATCCGTGCAAAAGTGGGTGATTGCACCCCAGAGTACCTTGTGTCTAGTGGAAGATCTGGTCCAGACCTGAGCATAACTGATGGACAGTCCCTCAGACGGGGCCATGGAAATGCACATGGCTTCCTGGACATATCCCTAGAGTGTTCAGCCAACTGTGCGCATAGTCTCCTGTGTACATACCTAGCCCCCAAATCCTGTACACACACACACACACACACACACACACACAGCCCTGGGTGCCTGCAGTCCCACATGTATACATAGTCCTGGTACCTTGGTGCTGGGGCTCTGGGGCCCTGGAGAGGCCGGAGGACTGCCGGGAGGAGGGTCCCTCGTTCTAGGACTGGATGGGGGGGACGCTGGGGACAGACTGGGGGAGACAGAGTCTGAAGTGGGGTGGCTGCCCTGATCTCTGATCCTGTCCTCTCCAGCCCCTTTAGCAAATGGGATGCTGACCTGGAGGTGGAGGATGAGGGATCCCTGGGACTCCCACCAGGGGATGAGCCTCTCTCTCGGGACAGCTTCCTGAAAATAGAGACAGGGGATGAGGCCGAGACCAGACTCAGTCCCAGGAGCGGATACCATCTCTGCCCACGTCACTCCCCACATACTCCCTGAGACTCACGCACTGAGGCGCTTGGTGAGGCTGATTCGCCGCCGGACGCGTGGGGAGCTGGGGCAGGAGGCGGCCGGTGGCTCAATGACCCGGGAGATGCGGTAGCTGAGGGGTCAAGATGCAGATGGGATGGGGGGGTGGGAAATGAGTTAGAATCGGTCGGGAGCTGGGTTTTGGGTGTGTGTGTGTGTGTGTGTGGGAACAGCCAGGGGTTGGGCACCCAATGTTGGGGTCAGGGTCATTACAGCTGTGGGGTCTTATCAGGGATGAGATGAGATGGCTTGGTTGGCAGGTCACACAGGGGCTTACAGAGTGGGACTGAGGAGTCAAATGGGGTCAGGGATAGAGTTCAAGGTCAGATGATCACTGAGGTCAATTGTTAGGATCATGGATTCAGTAGAATGAAAAGAAACCATTGGGACAGTTGAGTTGGATGCTCTGACATAAGAGTCAGTTGCTCAGAATTGGGGGTCAATGATTGGGCTCAGAGAGTCAGATGGGGGTTATGAATGGGGTCATGGGTCAGATAGGGCCAGAGGTGGGGGAAAAGAAAAGATGGGATGGTTGAATGGAATGGCCAGCTGCATGTTAAAGGTTGAAGTCAGAAAGTCAGATGGGTCAAAGTTTGGGGTCAGAGGTCAACTGGGGCCCTCGACTGGGCCGCAGACAATGCAAGGTGACAGGCTGGGTGGGGGGGTGTCAGGGATCAGGAGGGGGGTCTTAGGAGGAGCTGGAGAGGTGCATGGGGGAGGTGGATCCAGTGTGTGATCCAGGGTCAGCGGGTGGGGGGTTGGTCAGGCCAGGCCACATGTTGGTCACCTCTGCTCCTCGCTGAGCTGGCGCTGGGTGCGCAGGGCAGCCAGGATGGGCAGGTGGGAGCTCAGGCAGTAGCTCTGACAGCGCCTCTGCAGCTGCTGGATGTGGGCCAGGATCTCCCACTCCTGAGGGGGTGGCCTCTGAGACCCCGTCCATGCTCAACCCCCATCCTGGACCCCCCCTCCCCCCGGCATGCCCACCCCAGTGCCCACTTACCTTCCTCCTCTTCTCAAAGTTGATGAGATCCCCCTGGGGGCAAATTTTGTCTGAACTGGAGCCTCCAGGGTCAAGGATCAAGGGTCAAGGTCAGGGGTTGGGATGTCAGGAGCCCCACCGCACTAAGGGGGCTGGGGTCAGGAGCACAAGGCAGGGTCACGGGTGTGAGGTCAGGAGGCCCTCTGTGCTGAGGGTGAGTGAGGCTGGGGTCAGGAGTCAAGGGTCAGGGCTCAGACCTCCAGCATGTCCGGCAGGGCTGTATCCAGCATGACCAGGTCCGTGAGAAAGGTGCCAAGGTAGGGGATGGGGCCTGGGGGCAGTTTCTGTGGCCCCCAGAGCTCCAGTCACTCTCAGCCATCACCGACCCCACCAGGCTCCACCCCCCACCCAGGATCCTGCTTGTCCCTCATCCCAAACCACATCACTCACTGAGGGCAGGCTTCCTGGGGGGGCATTCTCCGCGGTAGCCTCCTCCTGGGGGAAGGGGAAGAACTGAGCAGTCCTGGGGTCTCTTTGCCCCCTCCCTCGGGGAAGATGCCTCCATCACAAGCAGTTGTAAAGGCCATACCCAAGGAAAAGTGAACAGGGAGGGGGAGAGAACAGATAAGCAGCAGGGGGCAGGGCTCACTGGGGATGATGGGAGGTGGGGCTTGTGGGTGCCTTGGCCCCCAAGGCTGGCCTTAACACAGGTGAAAATCTTTGTACCTGGAGATCCCCCAGAAATGCCCTGAACATTGTTGGCACATTTTTTTTTCCAGCTTTTCTTATCAAAGTCAAGTCCTTAGCAGAATTTTTTTTTTTTTCACTCTTTGCTCTGACTCTGGCCTTCAGTGACCTTTTCCCTGTAACTTCTGGTATTTGTTGGATGAATAAATAAGGCAGCCACCAAGTGTGAGCTATAATGAGGGCAGCAGAGGGAGTAGAAACGCAGGGCTGCCCACAAACAAGAGGAAGGTCATTCTCGAGGCATAGGGAAAGGACACTGAATGTTATGACAATGACAAGCAATGCCCTGCTGGGCCCCTGGTCCCCTTCCTGGGCCTGGGATCTGAGGGGTCCTCACCCATCTGTACCTGGGAGAGAATCTCTCTGCTGCTGAGGTGATTGTTCTCATCGGAAAAAATCTGCGAAAGTTTCCTGAAAGTGGATAACGGTTCCCTGAGGGGACAGGAGAGGGGTCAGGGGTGGCCGCGGGGAGAGTCAGAGCTGGCACGAGGTGGGCGGGGCGTCCCGCGCCAGCACGCCGCCCCTTGCTCACCGGCTCAGGGCACCCCAGCTGCGCTTGAGCCGGTAGATGGGGTTAGACTGCAGGGCGGACAGGACGGCGCGCAGGGAGGAGAAATTCCGCAGGTCCCGGCAGCGCTGGGGAGCGGGTGGGGGACCGCTGGTCACACCCCCAAGCCTGAGCTCCAAGTATGATCCACCTTTGATCCCGTGACTTGTGACCCCAGGTTAGATCCTTACGGTTCGCCCCGTATCTGACGAGCTACCCAGATTCAGCCCAGGGGCCCCTCCCCCTCTCCAACCTGCAGTCCCAGCCCCTCCCCCAGCTGCCCCTCCATTCCCTTCCTCTGGCCTTGGCTTCCCGTGTCCCCACTCCTTACTTCTCCCCGGGCCCCAGACGGACCCGTAGCGTCTCTTCTAGACCCAGACTCCTCCCCGCAGCCCAAGTCTCACCCAGGTGTCTACCTTCTTCCCCCTGCGCCTCGCCACGCCCCCACTCTCTTTCCTGGCCCCCATTTCTCCTCTTCCACTCTGCTCAGGCTCCTGCCCCGCTTCCATCCAGTCGCTTTCAGGACCTCTGCCTCCGGCTCTTGGCTTTGGTCTCTCCTCCAAGCCTATCCGCTCCCCAGTGCCCCCATCCCATCCTTATTCCTAGACCAGCCCTGCGTCCCTCTGCGGTCTCAGGCGCCAGTCCCGCCCAGCCACGTCCTAGGCTTTCTCTTAGGCACCTCGCAGCCCCAATCCTCCGAGTATCCCCAGAACCCAGTCCTCGGCCTTCCGCCCGCCCCCGACCTCTCTCTGGCCTCGGTGCCCCATGCCCCCCTCCCCCCCCACCACCACCCCCCCCGACAGGCACACCTGCGCGATGCGGATCCACTTCTCCAGCCGCTGCGCCCTCTGCGGGGCGGCCAGGCCCGGCGACCCGAGCACCGAGCCCAGCACGCAGCCGGTCACCGTGTTGAACTGGGTCACAGTGGCGCGCACAGTGGAGGCGGTGCCTGTGGCCCCCGGCCGGTCCCGCTGCGACCACACGGAACCCAGGCACTCGAAGGGCCGCACGCGCGAGAAGAGCTCCTGCGCGCCGGGGTCGGGGGTGGGTAGGATCTGTGCTCAGCTGGGCATGTCCCCCTTCCCCCTCCTCTACGCCCCGCCCCCTCCCGGCCGCGCCCAGCAGGGATCCTCACCGCATCCATCAGGGTCAGCTGCTCGGCCACGTCGTCTACACTGAAGTCCAGGAGCTCAGGACCTTCCCGCACGAGTCCTTCCACCTCTTCCAAGCAGCCTACCGGGGAGTCTGGACGGGGTATCTGGGCAACCCCTGGATGTCCTAAGGGAGCATTAAAGGGGGTTAAAAACTCTGAAGTTTGAATCCAGGACTGGCTGCGTGACCTTGGGCATCTGTGTCCTCACTTTTCTCATCTGTGAAACAGAGATCTCCTTGAGTGTTTTTAAGAACGTCAGAGCAGCAGTAACTGTTCGTTGAGCATCTTGGGTGGATTAACGGGGAAATTTATACACTAACCCTGCGAGGGAGGTACTATTATGCACCTTTTTTTAATGGGAAAACTGAGGCAGGAATTTGCTCTAACTCACATCTTCAGTAAATGGCAGGGGTCTGAAGCCAGGTGCTCAAAGTCTAGAATAGAAAATAGAGCTTTTTGACTTTGAACCTGTATTAGGATAGGATCCATCTGCCCTTTTCTGGTGGTTAGAGGTGGTATAACCTTGTGGTTAAGGAAAGGCTATCGTCTTTACGTCCCAAGTTCAAATCCAAACTGGTCCACCGGGGTGCTGTGCGAATTAAGCAAGACTTTAAACCTCTCTGTGCCTTGGTTTCTTCACTTGGATTTTTTTTAATCAAATGAAATCACGCATACCAGATGGCTATAAAGTACTCAATAAATATGAATGATTTTTCCGAGGTGGCGGTCAATGGTGGCGCCCCCTAGGGGGACATTTTGGAAGTTGAAATCTTGCCACAAGAGGGGCTAGGCACTCATAGTGAAGAATTGTACCACCAGCCTCCAACTGTCCCTCCAAGAAATTTGTGTCCTTGAAAAACCTGTTTACAATACTTGGCACTTAGAACTCAACTATCTTTGCTCATAAACACTAATTATTTTGGCTCTAGAAAGGCAAGGACTGTGAACTTTGTTTTGTATGGAAATGGCAAGTGTTGTTCACCGTTTTGGAAATTGATGTCACCAACATCTATGCTGCTGCATCTGTGTCGCCAGTGCATCCCCCTGCATTAGTTTCTGGCTGCCATATTCACCACGATGCTATGGCAGGTGAAGGCACTGAACAACTTCCTGATGTCTCCTGGTGAGGCATATGCCCAGACATTGACATACCAACAAGTATAGTTGATTGTTGTGTAAACTGCTTTTGTTTTGTTCCTCCTTCCTATTACAATTCCAGCATCATGTTATTATTTTTAAATTATCTGTGTAAGTCTGTTTAATTATCTGTCTTTCATTTCGTATTAGGACAGGCAGCATTGCAAAATACTACTTTATTTTTATTTTTTGGCTGTGCCATGCTGCATGCGGGATCTTAGTTCCTGGAACAGGAATCGAACCCTGCAGTGGGAGCACAGAGTCTTAACCACTGGGCCACCAGGGAAGTCCCGCAAAATATTAGTTTTTAAAAGTGAGCATAGGGGGAAAAAATTACTCAGCCATAAAAAGGAACGAAATTGGGCCATTTGTAGCGATGTGGATGGACCTGGAGACTGTCACACAGAGTGAAGTAAATCAGAAAGAGAAAAATAAATATTGTATATTAACGCATATATGCGGAATCTAGAAAAATGGTACAGATGAACCTGTTTGCAAGGCAGAAATGGAGACACAGATGTAGAGAACAAATGTATGGACACCAAGGAGGGAAAGGGGGGGGTGGGATGAATTGGGATTGACATATATATACTAATATGTATAAAATAGACAACTAATAAGAACCTGCTGTATAAAAAATAAATACAATAAAATTTTTAAAAAATCCCATAACTTGAGCACCAAAAAAAAAAAAAAAAAGTGAGCATAGGGGAAAAAAATTGCACATAAATCTAATCAAACCTTTAGCTCTTACAGCAAATATGGTGAATAGAGGAACATGCTTCATGTCACCATGAGAAAGCTAACAGGTAAATGGAGAAGAATGTGAGACATTCCTCGGGACAAATGACCCATTATTTTCTCCTAATGCCATTAATCAACAGGCAAAGAGGAACAGTCATAGAAAAAAAGAGATCTAAGAAATGAACACCTGGGACTTCCTTGGTGGCATAGTGGTAAAGAATCCACCTGCCAATGCAGGGGACACGGGTTTGAGCTCTGGTCCAAGAAGATCTCACATGCCGCGGAGCAACTAAGCCCATGCGCCACAACTACTGAGCCTGTGCTCTAGAGCCACAACTACTGAGCCCGTGTGCCACAACTACTGAAGCCCGCACACCTAGAGCCCGTGCTCCGCAACAAGAGAAGCCACCGCAATGAGAAGCCCGAGCACCGCAACGAAGAGTAGGCCCCGCTCGCCGCAATTAGAGAAAGCCCGTGTGCAACAATGAAGACCCAACACAGCCAAAAGTAAATAAATAAAATATATAAATTTATTTTTTCTTTTTCTTTTTTTTAAAACATTATTTAATTTTAGTTTTGGCTGTGTTGGGTCTTTGTTTCTGCGTGAGGGCTTTCTCTAGTTGCGGTGAGCGGGGGCCACTCTTCATCGCGGTGCACGGGCCTCTCACTGTCGCGGCCTCTCTTGCTGCGGAGCACGGGCTCCAGACGCGTAGGCTCAGTAGTTGTGGCTCACGGGCCCAGCCGCTCCGCGGCATATGGGATCCTCCCAGACCAGGGCTCAAACCCGTGTCCCCTGCAATGGCAGGCGGATTCTCAACCATTGCGCCACCAGGGAAGCCCTAAATTTATTTTTTAAAAAAAGAACACTTTAAATGGATCTTTGGTTTTTGGAAGAAACAACTATATAGAAGACAACTTAGGAACAATAGGGGAATTTGAATATGCGTAGTTTTTGATATTGAGTAATTATTGCTGATTTCGTTGGAAAAGATTGTGGGCATGAAGGTTATATACATTTTAAAGTCCTTGTCAATTACCGGTGAGACCCAAAGTATTTGTGTGTGAAGGGACGGTAAGTCTGGGATTTGCCTTCAAATCATCCTGAAAAAAAATTTTTTTTTTTTTGGTCAAATTGATAATCGTGGAAGATGAGTGATGGGTGTTTCAGTATTCTTTACGTTACTTCTCTCTACTTTTCTATACGTCTGAAATTTTCCATGGTAAAAAGTAACCCCCAGGGCTTCCCTGGTGGCGCAGTGGTTGCGAGTCCGCCTGCCGATGCAGGGGACACGGGTTCGTGCCCCGGTCCGGGAAGATCCCACATGCCGCGGAGTGGCTGGGCCCGTGAGCTATGGCCGCTGAGCCTGCGCGTCCAGCGCCTCTGCTCCGCAACGGGAGAGGCCACAACAGTGAGAGGCCCGCATACCGCAAAAAACAAAAAAAACAAAAAAAAACAAAACAAACAAAACAAACAAAAAAGTAACCCCCAAACAAGGATATGAAGGTTCCCAGATCCTGGCATAAAGTCAGTGTTCAATAAATGTTCATTTTCTCCTCTTACCTCAAGAACTCATAGCATAGGGCAGCACTTTCAATAGAATTTTCTGCAGTGGTGGAAATATTTTCTACCTGTGCTGCCCGATGTGGTTACCGAGCACTAGAAATGTGGCCATTGTGACCAAAGAACTGATTTTAATTTTTATTTAATGTTAATTAAGTTCAATTTTAATAGCCACATCGGGCTAGTGGCTACCCCACTGCCCTGTGCAGCTCTGATGACTTGGAATCAGCTGGTGAAATCTTGAAGGCAGAGGAAGAAAGATACTTGGTAACCAGGAGGGAAGATGACGGGATAAAATGTATACAAATAACTCTCACCAGGGGAGAGAAGTGGTTGCTACTTTGTAAAGCAGAGAGGAATGTGGCCAGTTTAAGGATTAAAGAATGGATTAGGGATATAAAGCTCTTGTGACAGGGATCAGATCAAACACAGATGGGTGAAAGATGATACTTTATAAGCAGGATGTAATTATTCAGTAGACAAATCCGTGTTGTAACTGACCCTGGGGGTAGAGTTGGGGACAAGACCAATAGGTTCTATGCAGAAAAATAAGGCAGGTAATAGGACTCAGAGTGGGAGGCTGTATTTGTTGGGAGGGGATCTGAGAAGGCATGTCTGAGGAGATGACAACTGAAAAAAGATCTGAATGAAGTATGTGGATATTTTTCCTTCCCCCCAGAGCTCTCTACAACAGAGGTTGTAGACCTCTGTTGTAGAGGGCAACAAACGTGGCATGTGGGATCTTAGTTCTCTGACCAGGGATTGAACCCATGCCCCCTGCAATGGAAATGCAGAGTCTTAACCACTGGACCACCAGGCAAGTCCCAGCAAACTTTTCCATAAAAGGCTAGATAGTTTGCTGACACCCACTTCACTAGAAAACATCAGTATGATTTATTGTATCGATTTCATTATAAGTGGTAGATTCTAATAGGTAAGAATCTGTGATAACAACAGTAATGAAAATAATACTATTTGCCAAGCCCTCATTACTTGTTTATTTACTTGTCCACTAATTGTCTTCCCCAGGGAACAGGGAGCTCCTGTCCACTGTTATGTGCCCAGAGCCAGTGGCTAAATATCTGTTGAATGAATGAAGAAGCCAGTGAGGTAAGTACTGTCATTGCCCCCATTTTGCAGATAAGGAAACTGAGGCTCAGAGAGCTGATTTATCCAAGGTCGCACAGTCAGCAAATGGCAGAACTAGGATTTGAACCCAGGTCTCTGTAGCTCCTAAGGCAAGTAGTAATAGATGATTTGTAGCCAAAAACACAGGGTATCCTGACCCAATGATGGACTATCTTTGTAGTTGGGATGTGTTGTGTGGGGGGAGGTGATAGACAAATGCCAATACTTTAAACAAAGGGCTATTATCCCCATTTTACAGGTGGAGAAACTGAGGCTCAGACAGAGTTGAGAACCTTGCCCAAGATCTGTAGCTCCTCCGTGAGGGGAGAAGACCCCTGGGGGAGGGAGAATGCCTGTTCCGGACACTACCGGTTCCCCAACCCGCTCACCTGCCCATGTCTGGGACCGCTCCTCTTCCTCCTGCTGTGGCTCAGCATCCTTCAGGAAATCTCCCAGCAGCTTTTCTGCCTCCCGGGCCTCAGCCCCTGATGGGGCTGCCCAGCCCAGAAAGGTGCAAACACTGCCTAGGTCCGAGTGGGCAGGGGGATCCCAGAAATCCTGAGGGTAGTCCCGCAGCCAGGAGCCCAGCACTGACACCACAGCCCTGGCCAGAGGGGTGGGGCCTCAGAGCCCAGCCCAGAGCTCTGGACCTCTGGAGCCCCTGCACTTCAGATCCTTTTGACCTCTATGCCCCGCTGCCCACACCCAACGGGAGGACAAACCTCAGGTTGTTGCTGAAGGTCAGATCTCTTCCCTCTGTCTTCTTGATCTCAACCCTGGAAAGACATCCCCCCTCCGCCATCAGGTGAGGAAGAGGGCGGCTGGAGGGGACTCAGGAGGAAGATTCTGGGGTTGGAGGGGGTGTCCTGGTTCTAAACCGGAGGGGGCAGAGGAGTATCCGGGTGAAGGTCTGGGGTGGGAACATGAGAGTCCCCCGTTGGTACTGACCCCGGCGGCAGGGGCGGCGGCGGCGGTGGCAGGAGAAGGCCCAGCACGCGGGCAGTGGGCACAAAGGCCCGGTGGGTGGCCAGGAAGGCAGGCACGAAACCTGGGTCCTGCTCGCGGTCTCCAGACACCAACTCCCGCACCAGCCGCTCCAGCCGCGCTGCCCTCAGCGCCCGCACCTTGCTGGTGCGGTAATGGAGGAAGGTGTCGGCACCGGGGCTGGGGGCCTGCGGGGCAGGGTGACCGCAGTGAGACACAGAGGAGTGGGCCCCAGCATCCCATTCCAATCGTGCCTTTGGGAAGCACCGATCTTGCATCTGATCCTGTCCATTCTTCTGAATCCTGCCCCCTGAGTTCATTATTCTTCCCCATTGCCCAATCGACCCCCGAAACCCGCCTGGAACCTCCTCATCCGCCCAGGCCCCGCCCTGCCCTCTGCCCCATTTACAAGCCACCCCTACCTCACCCCCACCTCCGCCCCCAGGCTGCTCCCAGCTCTCCTGCCGCGCTTCACTGGCCCGTTCCCAGACTCTCCGCCCCACCTCGCTCTCGCCTGGTCTCTTCTAAAGACCACTCCTTCAGCTCCGCCCCACTAAACCTGGCTTACCTAGGCCCTGCCGTCCAGTTCCGTCCCCAAGTCCTGCAAGTCACCTCGGCCTCACCTGGCCCCGCCTCCTCACCTACCCCACTCACCTGGCCGCCCCTGGGCCCCACGCCATCCTTACCTGGTCGCCTCTAAGCCCCGCCCCTCCTTCGGGCCCCAGTTCCTCCCCTCCACTCAGCCCCGCCCTCACCTGGTCACCTTCCGCTCGGCCCCAGCCTCCTACCCGTTCCTCACCTGGGTGCCCCGAGGCCCTGCTCCCGGACTCAAGCGCTGACTGCGCTGCCGCCGCAGGGAGACACTGTACACCGCGCCGTCTTCGGTCTCCTCGCCCCAGTCCTGCAGCGGCGCCTGGACGCGGAGGCGAGCTCAGGACGCCGCAGGGGGAAGGCTCCCGGGACCACGGCCCCGCCTCTTCCGCGGACTCAAGCCTGATCCCTCCAGTTTTATCCCCCTTTGCCGGCCAGAGTCAGTGAGACTCGGGGCAGGGGTCCAGGCTCGGGAAGTCCCCTCGGCGCTGCGGGTACCCTCCTACCTAGCCCTTGGGAGGATCGGGTGGCATTTGGGGACGTCCCAGGGTCCAGTCTTAGCGAGTCTGTCTCTAGTCCCTCCCGCAGATGCGCTCAGAGACACTCCCGCCACCACCCATCCCTAAAAGGAGCCAGCCACTTCACTGGGTCAGGGGCCGGGAGGCCAGAGGTAGGGACTCCCAGGCTGTTCCGAAGGGTCCGATTTGAGGGGAGAGAGGATCCAAGGGGCGGTCGGGGACCTGGAGTTTCTGGACTTGAGGGTCGCCAGGGATGTGGGGTCCTGGGACCCCAGGTCCCCTTACCAGGGCGAGCTCCTTGCCCGTCGTCCGCTCCATGGTCCGCTCCCGTCCCGCTCTGCCGCGCGGCTGAGTGAGGCGGAAGGGCCGGTCGGGGAGCAGTGGCCGGGAGTCGGGCCGGCGGGGCGGGGCGGCCGGGCAGCGCGGGGGCGGGGCGGGGTGGACTCACTGCTCGCGGTTGCCCCTGCCAGACCCCAGCGCCCAGCCCAGGGCCCTGGGGAAGAGGTCCGAGCTCTCCGGATAAATGTGTATCAATCTGAGCCCGAGAGAAAGGACACCTCTCTCTCTCTCCCAGGGGAGGGCTCTTTCTTGTGTCCCCAGGTGTGGAGGAGCTAATGTGTATAGCTGAGTGGGGTACAGGTCTGCGTCCTCAGAAGGAGAGTCTGCTTCCTCAGACGGGGAGGGCTGGTCCGCCCCAGGTGTGGAGGGATTTCTCATTTCTCTGGAGGGGTGGAGGGAGCTCAATCTGTGTCCCTAGCTTATGGGAGTCATCACTCCCCAGGTCGGAGGGGGCTGAATCTGTGGCCCTGGTTTGAGGGGCAGCCATCTATGGGGTGGTGCAAGGATCAAGGAGAGGCGAATACTCAGGGGGCTGGTGGTTGACCTTTAATGCGCGATTCCGAGGCCATCGCGTGCCAGCCTGGGGAGATTTACTGTGGGAACGTCCGGCAGCCCAGCCCCCTTCTCTACTCCGGGCATCGCCCGCCCGCTCTGCTCCCTCGTCCGGGCTGCGTTCAGCCCTTGAAGGGGCCCCGTGGGCCTGCCGCTGGGCCCAGAGGGGTTTGCGGGCTCCGCAGGGGCCCGCAAACGCCATATGGACGCGAGGGCGAGTCTAGGACCTCCGCGAACGACCGCGCCTCTTGCTGCGGGATTCGATTAATTTCTGGGAACGCATCTTGAGCCCCGCGCGGGTCACCACGTCGTTGTCTTCCTCCTCACTCTCCTCTTCGTCTGCAAAGGGCGATGACGGGATCAAGTTCCCATTCCCGGCTCAGATGTTCCTTCCCAGCCTTTACCATCCCACCACCACCTTGGCCCTAGGTCCGGCCCCTGACCACCTCCCGATGCTCTGCTTGGGCCCCCGGCCCCGCCCCCTTTCCTTGCCCGTACTGACCGAAGAACCTGTCCTTGCGACCGGCAACAGGCAGGGCGATGCGGGTGTTGTACATCGGCAGCTTTCCCTCTAGGGTGGAGTAGAACTGGGGGAAGGGCGAGCGGGAAAGAAGAGTGTGAGTGGGCAGAGGCTGCAGCGAAGTCCGTTCCCCCTCCTCCCCAGCCCACTCTGAGACTTAACCTGATTCCATTCAGCACCTCTGCCGACTGCTGTAAAGTTTTCTTTGGTCGCTGCCGCGTCATTTGTTCTCAGCGTGCATCCTGATACCCCTCCCCCTCCCCCTCCCAGGCCCGCCCGTGGTCTCTAGGTCCCACCTCTTGTCCTCTCGAGGCCTCTCCCTTGATACCCCCGGCCTTGACCTCTGGCCTGCCAGGGCCCTCTGGAAACTCTCGTGGTTCATCCCTAGCTCCTTAAACCTCACGCCTTGTCCCTAAGGCCCATTCCCGGCCCATCGGCCTCCTCTCTGGTCTCCAGGGGGATGCCCCGACCTCCTGGTATTCCGCCCCAGCCCCTGCACCCTCAGCCCCACCGCCTGGCTGAAGGGGTACCTCGCAGTCGGCGATGTGGCGCAGCAACTCTGGCACGTTGTGGTTCTGGAGTTGCGCCTGTAGCTTCAACAGTTTTTCCTCCACGAGGCCCAGTAGGTTGGGCAGATAGTCACCTGCCTTGGGATCCAGCTCCTTTCTGGCGAAGCGGCCGGCCTCCTGTGGCTGGGGGCGGAACCAGGTGAGTTGGAAGGGGGTGGGGCCTCTGGGCAGGTTCCACCCAGGGGCGGGGCTTTTCCTCAGGGACCAGGCCTTTGAAGTTAGGGGCCACCAACCGGAGTGGTGCTATCCTCTGTGGGGTGGGGATTCTGTGGTCAAGGGCCACGGTTATAGGGCAATTGCCTCTGAATTCCAGAGACCCAAACCAAGGGATGAGGGGCGGGGGGAGTCTTTTAGTGGGAGGGCAGGGATACTAACTGTAGAGAGGCCATTGCCAGATGACCTTAAGAAATGGGATTCTGCTGCGGGCAGGGTGGGGCTTCTCTTATCTGTGGTCGCTCCAGGATTGGAGCGGGGTCTCTGAAGTTTTGGGTCCTCAACATTCTAGAATCTGGGATCGGAGGGTGGGGTTGTGGGGGGGGGGGGGGGGCTAAGTGGGACTTTCCCATGGGGGCGGGACTTGAAATGGGATAGGGTCTCTAAAGTCCTGGGCCTTTTGAGGAGTAAGGGGGTGCCCCCTGAGACGTGGGGTGGAGACTCAGGAGTGGGTGGAGGTTTCCCCTGTGTCTAGGCCTCTCATGTCCTGGACAGGGCCTGCAGTGGGTTCTCTTGAGCCGGCTACGGGGCAGAACCCCACACCTGCGTGCTGGCACCGCCTCTCACGTCTTGCGGGGATTCCTCGTGGGTGGGGCCTGCCACTAGGATGTGGTTCAGTTTGCTAGCCAGGTGTTCCAGGCCCTCTTTGGTCATTTGCATTGCCCACATGGCAAGCTGCAGCCGATTGTGTGTGTCAGCGTGCTGCTGCTCCTCCGCCTTGATGCGCCCCTGCAACTCGACTTGCAGCTTCTGCTCGCTGCGGGGAGCAGGGAGGCCACCACTGGAGCTCCACCAACCCTGCAGGCCCCACTCTCGCCCTCCGGCACCCGGGACCTCACCTCACCAGCGTGGTCTCCCCTGAGTACTTGAGGTCTTCGAGCTCCCGCTGCAGCCGCTGCTTCTCTTGCTTCAGCCTCATCAGCGTCTGCTCGTTCTGGCTTTTGAGCGTCTCCAACTGCGCGAAGGTGTCGCCCTGTGCCAGGAACCGCTGCACCACCGCCTGGGGGCCGCCCAGCCCGAGTCAGAGCCAGGGCTGGGGCAGGCAGGGGTGCACTCCTCCTTCTTTCCCCCCCTTCTTTCCCCCGGGGCACGCAGGACAAGTGGCTGAGCTGATGGCTTCTGCATAATGGTGTTTAGACACTCTGTGAGTCCGACCCAAGGCTGCCTCGAGGGTGTGTAGCCCCGAAGAAATGATTTTTGTGGGCCCTTCCTTGTCTATATAGGGAAATTGTATCAGCCAAAATCGGACTGCGGGGCAGTGATAGCAGTGAGCACAGCTGCTTTCCAAACTCAACATGCCAGCAACGTTCTGGCAGTGAATCTTGCCCACTCCCATGAGGAAATATGGCTGGGAAAGGTGCCTGGCCACAGTGCTCCAGATGACCCCACATGTCCAAGTCCTGGAACTCCTTGGAGGCTACCCCATAGGAGTAGTGGGTTGGAGAGCGCCGTAAGTGGAGAAACCCAACAGGGATCCAGGGGAATTAGTGTTCGCCAGCTGGGGACATAAATAAAGTCTTAGAAAAATTCAAGGAAGATGCTGCCAAGCATGGTCCCCAGAGCAGGGGCCCAGCTTCTCTGGGACTGAGGCTGGCACTGGGCATTTTACTGCGCCCAGACCCTGCTACGGGTGCTGGAGACACAGCAGAGAGAAAACACTCATAGTTCTCCTAGAGCTGATATGTCAAAGACGTCAGCACCAGTGTAAGCCGGAACATTAGAGGATGATGGCCAGTGTAGATAACTCGTGTGGGTTTTGCTGAGAGGTAGTGGATTAATGAGGCAGTGGCTGGAGGAAGAAGGGGTGTCTTTTGTGTGCTGAAGAATTGGCCCGGCAAAAAGTGGAGGCTGGGTGTGTTGGCTTCCCAGGCTCAGCTCGGGCGTCTGGGAGCTGGGAGGGCCGAAGGCAGCACTCACGTGCGTTTCCGCCACGCCGGTGGCGTCCTTGACCTTGCCGAAGAGCACCTCCATCTGGTACATGTTCCAGCGCCGCCGCAGCTCCTCCTCTTTGGAGCTCATGCTGGCCTGGAGCCTGTCGTTGGACTGCAGCAGCACCTGCTCGCGCTGGGTCTGCGGGTGGGTTGAGGTCAGGGCCTGGGTCAGCTCGCAGACAAGGGCTTAGGGCAGAGGCCGCGGGGGTTGGGGAAGTATCCGCACTGGGGTAAGGGAGGGGGTGGGGCCCAGGCGTGGGTTAGGGCACCCAGGCAGGGGTCAGGAGTGCTTGGCAGGGTCTTGGTCGAGAAAGGGAGGCCTCAGAAGCAGCGCAGACGGACGGGGTCCAGGGGGCGGGGCCTGTTGGGTAAGGGGTGGGGCCTGTCGGGTAAGGGGCGGGTTAGAGGCAGGATCAAATTTCCGACACAGGCAAGTCTTGTGGGGAAGGATGAGGATAGACCTGAGAGTAAGGGGAGGGCTGGAGGGCGGGGTCAGGGATGCGAGAGGAGCCCTGGCATCTAGTGGAGATGGGGGCGGAGTCAGGAGAAACGTCAGAACTGCTGAAGGGTCTAGGGCCTGGGCCAACGTAGTGGCGTGGCCCCGGACCCAGCAGGGCCGCATCCAAGCAGGAGCAGGCTGGGGTCGTCGCAGCCCCGTACCCCTGGTGCGCCCACCTTGCGCTCCATGCGCTCGTTCTGCAGTTTCTTCTCTTCCGCGCGCTTCTTGCACTCTGTTAGGTAGCGTTCACGCTTTTTGCGCTCTCGGAACACTGTCTCTTCCAGATGCTGCAGCTGGTTCTAGAAGGGGGGAAAGGGGGACAGCAGGACCTGCTGGCACCTATCCGGGCTCTGGGCCAGAGCCGCAGGCCCAACTCTAGACAGCTGGGTCAGGCTGTGGGGTCCTGGGAGAGAGATGGGATGGGTTCCGGGACAGCTGAGGTTCAGATGCTGGGGCCAGAACAGAAGACCATGGCGGCATCGGGGGTCGGGGGGCAGGACCCCCCCCCCAGGACCTGACAGGCTGGCACCTTGGCGATGTCCCTCGCATTAAGCGCCTCCTGATTCACTAGGTTCAGTTCCTCCAGCCCCCCCCCCAGGACCTGACAGGCTGGCACCTTGGCGATGTCCCTCGCATTAAGCGCCTCCTGATTCACTAGGTTCAGTTCCTCCAGCTCGTGTTTTGTTCTCACCACC